ATGATTTGGGATTTTTCCTGGGATTATTTGGGATGTTTCCTTTAATTATTTGGGGGTTTTTCCTGACATGATTTGGGATTTTTTCTCCTGGGATCATCTGGGATTTTTTCTCCCAGGGATGATTTGGGATTTTTTTCCTGGAATGATTTGGCATTTTTTCCTGGAATTATTTGCGATTTTTTTCCTGGGATCATCTGGGATTTTTTTTTCCCGGGATGATTTGGGATTTTTCCTGGGATAATTTGGCATTTTTTCCTGGAATTATTTAGGGTTTTTTTCCCGGGATGATTTGGGATTGTTACCTGGGACCTTCTGTGATTTTTCCTGAGATAATTTGGGATCATTTCCTGGGGTGATTTCGGATTTTTCCTGGGATGATTTAGCTTTTTTTCATGGAATTATTTGGGATTTTTTCCTGGGATGATTTGGGATTTTTCCTGGAATTTTTTTGAGATTTTTTTCTTGGCATCATCTGTTTGTTTTTTTTTCCTTGGGATGATTTGGGATTTTTTTTCCTGGGATCATCTGGGATTTTTCCTGGGATAATTTGCGATATTTTCCTGGAATGATTTGGGATTTTTCCTGGGATAATTTTGGATTTTCCTTGGGATGATACAGGTTTTTTTCCCGTAATTATTTGGGATTTTTTTCCTGGAATGATTTGGCATTTTTTCGTGGAATTATTTGGGGTTTTTTTCCTGGGATGATTTGAGGGTTTTTTCCTGGGATGATTTGGAATTTTTTCATGGAATGATTTGGGTTTTTTCCTGGGGTGATTTGGGATTTTTTTCCTGGAATTATTTGGGATTTTTCCTGGGATCATCTGGGATTTTTTTTCCTGAGATGATTTGGGATTTTCCTTGGGATGATTTGGGATATTATCCTGGGAGGACCTGGGGTTTTTCCTGGGATCATCTGGGATTTGGGATTTTTCCTGGGATAATTTGGCATTTTTTCATGGAATTATTTGGGTTTTTTGCTGGGATGATTTGGAATTTTTTTCCCCTGGGATCATCTGGGATTTTTTTTTTTCCCCGAGATGATTTGGAAGTTTTTTCCTGGAATGATTTGGGATTTTTCCTGGAATTTATTGGGGTTTTTCCTGGAATGATTTGAGTTTTTTTTCCTGGGATGATTTGGAATTTTTCCTGGGATCATCTGGGATTTTTTTTCATGGAATGATTTGAGGTTTTTTTCCCAGGATGATTTGGCATTTTTTCCTGGGGTGATTTGAGATTTTTTTTCTTGGGACCATCTGGGATTTTTTTTCCCGGGATGATTTAGAATTTTTTTCCTGGAATGATTTGGCATTTTTACTGGAATTATTTGGGTTTTTTTCCTGGAATTATTTGGGATTTTTCCTGGGATCATGTGGGGGTTTTCCCAGGATTGTTTGGGACATTTCCTTTAATTATTTGGGGTTTTTTTCCCGGGATGGTTTGAGATTTTTTCCTGGCTCATCTGGGGTTTTTTTCCTGGGATGATTTGGAAGTTTTTTCCTGGAATGATTTTGGGTTTTTTCCTGGAAATATTTGGGTTTTTTTCCTGGGGCGATTTGGAATTTTTTCCTTGGGATGATTTGGGGTTTCCTTGGGATGATAAGGGATATTTTCCTGGGGTGATTTGGGATTTTTTCCTGGGGTGATTTAGGATTTTTTCCTGGGATCATCTGGGATTTTTCCCAGGATTATTTGGGATGTTTCCTTTAATTATTTGGGTTTTTTTTTTTCCTGGGGTGATTTGGGGTTTTTTTCCTGGAATTATTTGGGATTTTTCCTGGAATGATTTGGGTTTTTTTCCCGGGAAGATTTGGGATTTTCCTGGGGTGATTTATGTTTTTTCCTGGGATGATTTTGGATTTTCCTTGGGATGATTTGGGATATTATCCTGGGAGGACCTGGGGTTTTTCCTGGGATCATCTGGGATTTTTCCCAGGATTATTTGGCAATTTTCCTGGAATGATTTGGGGGTTTTTCTGGGGATAATTTGGGGTTTTTTTCCTGGGATCATCTGGGATTTTTTTCCCAGAATGATTTGGGATTTTTCCTGGGATAATTTGGCATTTTTTAATGGAATGATTTGGGATATTTTCCTGGGGAGATTTAGGATTTTTTTCCTGGAATGATTTGGGATTTTTTCCTGGGATGATTTGGGATTGTTTCCTGGGATCATCTGGGATTTTTCCTGGAATGTTTTGAGATTTTTTTTCTTGGCATCATCTGGGATTTTTTTTTTTCTTGGGATGATTTGGGATTTTTTTTCTGGAATGATTTGGCATTCTTTCCGGGAATTATTTGGGTTTTTCTCTTGGGATCATCTGGGATTTTCCCCGGGATTATTTGGGATGTTTCCTTTAATTATTTGGGGATTTTTTTCCTGGGATGGTTTGAGATTTTTTCCTGGGTCATCTGTTTGTTTTTTTTTCCCGGGATGATTTAGAATTTTTTTCCTGGAATGATTTGGGAGTTTTTCATGGGATGATTTGGGATTTTTCCTGGGATCATCTGGGATTTTTCCCAGGATTATTTGGGATGTTTCCTTTAATTATTTGAGGTTTTTTTCCTGGGTGATTTGGGATTTTTTTCCTGGAATTATTTGCAATTTTTTTCCTGGGATCATCTGGGATTTTTTCTCCCGAGATGATTTGGAATTTTCCTGGGGTGATTTGGGATTTTTCCTGGGATGATTTGGGATTTTCCTTGGGATGATTTGGGATATTATCCTGGCAGGACCTGGGGTTTTTCCTGGGATCATCTGGGATTTGGGATTTTTCCTGGGATAATTTGGCATTTTTTCATGGAATTATTTGGGGTTTTTTGCTGGGATGATTTGGAATTTTTTTCCCCTGGGATCATCTGGGACTTTTTTCCCCTGGATGATCTGGGATTTTTCCTGGATTGATTTGGGATTTTTTTCCTGGGATCATCTGGGATTTTCCTGGGATAATTTGGGATTTTTTTTCCTGGGATGATTGGGGATTTTTTGCCTGGGATCATCTGGGAGTTATTTCTGGGATTACCTGGGATTTTTCCCAGGATTATTTGGGATTATTTTCCTGGGATGATTTGGGATTATTTTCCTGGGATGATTTGGGATTATTTTCCTGGGATGATTTGGGATTTTTTCCTGGGATCATTGGGTTTTTTTCCTGGGATGATTTGGGATTTTTTTCCTGCAATTATTTGGAATTTTTCCTGGATTGATTTGGGTTTTTTTCCTGGGAAAATTTTGGGGTTTTTCCTGGGATCATCTGGGATTTTTTTCCCAGGATGATTTGGAAGTTTTCCTGGGATAATTTGGCATTTTTTCATGGAATGATTTGGGTTTTTTTCCTGGGGTGATTTGGGATTTTTTTCCTGGAATTATTTGGGATTTTTCCCGGGATCATCTGGGATTTTTTTCCCAGGATGATTTGGAAGTTTTTTCCTGGAATGATTTGGATTTTTTTCCTGGAAATATTTGGGTTTTTTTCCTGGGATGATTTGGAATTTTTTCCTTGGGATGATTTGGGGTTTCCTTGGGAGGATATGGGATATTTTCCTGGGGTGATTTAGGATTTTTTTCCTGGGATCATCTGGGATTTTTCCTGGAATATTTTGAGATTTTCTCTTGGCATCATCTCTTTGTTTTTTGTTTTTTTTTTTTTTTTTTCTGGGATGATTTGGGATTTTTTTCCTGGAATGATTTGGCATTTTTTCCTGGAATAATTTTGGTTTTTTTTCCTGGGATCATCTGGGATTTTTTTCCCAGAATGATTTGGGATTTTTCCTGGGATAATTTGGCATTTTTTAATGGAATTATTTGGGATATTTTCCTGGGGAGATTTAGGATTTTTTTCCTGGAATGATTTGGGATTTTTTCCTGGGATGATTTGGGATTGTTTCCTGGGATCATCTGGGATTTTTCCTGGAATGTTTTGAGATTTTTTTCTTGGCATCATCTGGGATTTTTTTTTTTCTTGGGATGATTTGGGATTTTTTTTCTGGAATGATTTGGCATTCTTTCCGGGAATTATTTGGGTTTTTCTCTTGGGATCATCTGGGATTTTCCCCGGGATTATTTGGGATGTTTCCTTTAATTATTTGGGGATTTTTTTCCTGGGATGGTTTGGGATTTTTTTCTGGGGTGATTTGGAATTTTTCCCGGGATGATTTGGGATTTATTTCCTGGGATCATCTTTTTTTTCCCGGGATGTTTTGGGATTTTCCCTGGGGTGATATGGGATTTTTCCTAGGATGATTTTGGATTTTCCTTGGGATGATATGGGATATTATCCTGGAATCATCTGGGATTTTTCCTAGAATTATTTGGCATTTTTTCCTGGAATGATTTGGGATTTTTTTTCTGGAATGATTTGGCATTCTTTCTGGGAATTATTTGGGGTTTTTTCCTGGAATGATTTGGCATTTTTTCTGCAGTTATTTGGGATTTTTTTCCCGGGATGATTTGGGATTTTTCCTGGGATCATGTGGGGTTTTTCCCAGGATTATTTGGGATGTTTCCTTTAATTATTTGGGGATTTTTCCTTGGGTGATTTGAGATTTTTTTTCCTGGGATGATTTGGGATTTTTTTTCCCGGGATGACTTGGATGTTTTTTCCTGAAATGATTTGGGATTTTTTTTTTCCTGGAATTATTTGGGGTTTTTTCCTGGAAATATTTGGGTTTTTTTCCTGGGATGATTTGGGATTTTTTCCTGGAATCATTTGGAATTTTTTCCTGAGATGATCTGGGATTTTTCCTGGGGGATTTGGCATTTTTCCCCGGTGTTATTAGTAATTTTCCTGGGATGATTTGGGATTTTTCCTGGGATCATCTGGAATTTCTTTTTCCCAGAGTAACAAGGAGTAAATTAATGCTGCAAATCACCTGGGGAATCATTTCCGTGTCCATCCCCCCAGAGCTGCCCCAACCTCCAGGAGTTCTCCTGTCCAACATCACCAGCAGGGAAAGGAAAAAAAAAGGGAAAAGTGCCCCAAAAAAACCCGGTGAGGATTTGGCTGTAGTAGTGTAAATAGTTTATTGGATTTTATGGCAGGAACAGACCAGGAAAGGAACGTGAACTGCTTTAGAAAACACTCTAATCTTGCTAAGAAGCAGATCTATTACTAGAAAAATATTAAAGAGAACATGCCAGCCTGGAGAATTTTGGGTCTTTCGTTAAAAAAATACCTTTGAGCCAAAGAAGAGGAGATCTGGTGCTTGTACCCAACAATCTATCACATTGAATTTAAAATTATCCCATTTCTTCCGATTCAAACAACTCCTTGAGACTGCCAGGGAGGCAAAGGAGGGGGTGGCATGTTCTCTTTAGTGGATCAAGTGCTGTAAAATGCAAGGAATTGGCAGGTTTGAAAGTCAAAAATTCCTGTAAATAGGTCAACGTGGTAACTCTGAGCCCCAAACTGTCCGTTTAGTTAAATATAAAAACAAAAACTATAAGTTAAAATAACATTCAGATTGTATAGCACAGGCTTGATGCATTTATTTCATTTTAAACAATATTTACAATATTACCCAGAGGCTAAAGGGGGGGGAGGGGGGGATAAAAGAGAAGTGTAAAAACCATAAAAAACTGCACCAATTTTGTAGCAAAATATCTGTACATTTAAAAACAGATTATCATATAACTACACATTATCCGAGGGGGGAAAAGATTCCAGGGACCTTCACCAGTGGAGGGAGCACAACGGGAAAGGGCCAAGAAATTCCGTGGTTAAATACTATACAAGAAATTTTACAATTAACAGGGGATGTGACGAGCCCAGGGAAGAAGCTGGAAGCAAAAAAGGGGTCTTGGAAAGGACAAATCTCTCTCTTCAGTCCAGTTCTTCCCAGCTGAGAGGATCAAGGGGTTGGATTCCTCCTCCTGCTGCTCCGGGAGCTGGGGGTGCACGACGGGCCTAAAATGGCTCCTGTCCCTTTTTAGGCTTGGAAAAGCCATTTTGAACCTAAAACCTGCCCGGGATTTTAGGCTGGGCTTGTCTTTGGTGCCCAAAGGAGCCTCAGTAGGGAATTGGGGGTGGGATTGGCCCAGGGTGTGATCCCACAGAGCAGGGCTGGGCTGGCTCCCCAGTGAGGAACTGGACTGAGGTGGTCCCAGAGCCTAATACTGATTACTGAGGTGTTAATTGGCTTAGTGCTAATTAATAAATAGCTGTTACTCCAGAGCTGTGAGCGCCGGCCGGGCCTCCCCCTCCCTGTCCTGGCCCCCAAAACCCCCCTGGCCTGGGGGTGACCTCGTTTGGTTCCTCTCCCTGGGATCATGGATGTGTTGGGTCCCACATCCAGCTCCGGAGGTGCCCGGGGTGGGAAAAGGGCTGGGATCGTTATTCCTACAGAAAGCCCTTCGGTGTCTTCCTTTGGGATCAAACCCCAAGCCATAAGTGCAGCCGACACCCTGGGCACCAGCACAGGGATCAGTTCAGAGCTGAGCATTCCAAAGCTGAGCACATCCCAGTACTCCCAGTTGCCAACCAGTGGAGAGAGACCAGTCGCTGAACTCCACCCTCAGGCAGCCAAACCAACCCCCAAACCAGCAGGAATTTTACATTTTGGTTCCGGACGCCGCGGGACGTGTCCGAGGACACCCCTCAGGCCGGGTCCCTCAGCCCAGGTCCCGGCGCTGTCCCTGGAGCAGGTCCTTCCATCTCAGGCACTTGGTGGCTCCAGGGCGGTTCCCAGCCGTTCCCGGGCCCGGCGGGTGGGTTTGGCCATTCCCGAGGCTCGCCGAGCACGGAGTGTCCGTGGCCGAGGCCCCCGGGGAGCCCCCCCGGGGCTCACATGGCCACGTCGGGGCCGTTGGGGCGCAGGCCGTGCTCGTCGAAGCGGCGGCGGACGCTCCTCCTCAGCGCGTCGGCCCGGCGGTACGGCTGGTTCCGAAGATCTGCGGGCAGGGAAGGGCCTGGTGAGCTCGTCCCGGGAAAAGGGCCCCCCCGGACACACACACGCGCACACACAGAGAGAGGCCAGACAAGGAAAGTCCTGCTGGAAGCCAATCAAAGCAGCTTGTGGAGGGCAGAGAAGGGGGTCGGCCCCGAGGGGAGCGGGGGCTGCCGTGCCCGACTACGCGCCCAAGCAGCGGGGTAATACTGGTGGGACCGGGTGGGACGGGAACATCCATCAGAGAGGCACCATCACCCCAAATTGGGGGTTGATGTGTGCCCCAGTCCTCCAGAGCCCCCCTCATTCCCACAGCGGGAGGAGGGAGATGTGCAACCCACAGTCCCGTGGGACGCGTTTGGCCACAGCGGGATGGAGCTCTGATCCCTGTATCCCCATTTAGCATGGAATCATTCAGGTTGGCAAAGATCTCTTAGATCAAGTCCAACCAGATTTAAAGGTGGGAAAAGCAGCTGGTGCTTGGGATGCTCCAGCTGCTATCCTGCCCCGTGGCTGGAGCAAAGCTTCCTCAGCCAAAGGGTGTGGAGTGGCCAAACCCCTCCCTCCTCATCCTCATCCTCCTCACCTGCAGCAAAGCCCAGCCCAACCCACTCCACTGCTGGGGAGGTGAGAGCTCAGGAGGGAACACTGAGCATGGGATGGAGGGATGGAGGGATGGAGGGATGGAGGGATGGAGGGATGGAAGAGTGGGAAAGCTGATGGGCTGATGGATGCATTGATGAAGCCCATTCCATGTGCCACGTGTGTTACCTGTGCAACCACAACACAACCAGCACATGGATGCCCTGAAGACTATCCCAGATAAAATATTTCTCTGCTGGCCAACAAATTTGTGTTGGATTGGGCAAACTCTCCCTCAGATTTCCTGGATAATTGTGTCAGGGTCACACACAACTCCTCAACTTCTCAGCTCTGCCCCTGGAGCTGCTGGTTGAGCACCTCATCCCCTGTTTTGTGGTCTGGGGGCAGCAGAACCTCCAGGGAGCTGTGGGGCTACAAAACCCGAGGACAAGACTATTTTGGGCTGAACTTGAAGAGAAATGGCCAAAACGGTGTGAAGATGGTCACCAGCCAACGGCCTGTGGATCCCCTGCACCTCCAAGGGTGAAAATCAAGGATCTGGGTCTCCACAGGCCTGGAGGGTCTCACCAGTATTAGCTCAGCCACATCTACCACCAGCTCCTGGCAGACAGAGAGAGGAGGAAGCCAAGTAAAAAGTGATGCTTGCCAGCTCTGGGTATCCTCCACCACCGGGGTGCTAGAAGAAATCCTTACCCTCGAGTGAACATTGGGAAATTTAGTGATATTATTCTTCTTTAGGGCTAAACAGAAAAAAAAAAACAAACAAAAACAAAACAGAACACAAAATGATGGTTAAGTAAAAAAATGGGATGGAAAATGAAGAGCAAGTCAAGTCAGCAAAGTTCAAACCTCCCAGGCAGGGTGACCACAGAGCAAGAGGGTGAGGCCAAGGCTGTGAGGGGTTAGACAGGGGCAGGAGGGACAGGAGGCCTCCTGGCCTCTCCCCACCCCAATTCCAAGCTGCTTTGAAGGCTGGCTCCAGGAAGAGAACACGGCAGCGGACTCGGAGAGCAAAGACCCGTCGAGTGATTAGTTGGATTTATTGCAGCATTAATTGAAGTACACAGGGAAGGGGGAAACACTGTTGGCTTCTTAAGCTGCTGGGGCCTTAATGCAAGACAACAGTGCTCAGACATGCAGGGTTAGAGACACCCTTCCTACATGGACACCACGGTGGGAATCACTCAGTTCCACGTCAGCCTTTTCAGCGGCACCATCTCGGTGGTTCTGGCCCATATTTAAGTGTTTCCCCAGCCCTGCTCCTCTTTCCCCCAGTCCCAGCACTGCACAGTCCAGCTGAACTGGTTCATGCTCAGGGAAGATTCCTGCTTTTCCTTAAACAAAGCTGACGTGGAACTGAAGGGGTTAAACGTGGATGTGACCGATGAGCAGAGATTCCCCCCCGCCGGTTCCACCTCGTGTCTCACGCGCAGCCAACATGCAGGAGCTGGTTAGGAATCTAACCCCAACCACGGCTGTTAGCCCAGGCAGCCCTCCCCAGCCAGAAGCCACCCCCAGGGATGTTCCCTCATCCATGCAGCCCGGAATTCTACCAAGGCATCACATGCACGGCACACAAAGGTGTGCAGGCCACGGGGGTGACATAGAAAAGCCAAGTGAACGTCACTTCTTGGCTTCATTTGATCTCCTCAGCCCTTGGACTGCAGGAAACTCGCCCCAGTGACTGCCACCACTTGCTGTTCTATGGCACTGGAACACAGGGATGGCCAGAAGTCGATGGGATGGAACGAGAAGTTATGGAGACACGGGACGTGCAACGGAGGTGACACCACGAGAACGTCGGGTGACGCCGGACACCACTAAACACTCAACATTCACATGTCCTGGCTGAGATCTGCACAAAGGGGGGGGGACAACAAATCTACAGCCACCTTCCTGTTTTCTAAGAGCGTCAGGTGTGAGAGAGGAATAGTTTAGTAATGGAATTCCTCCGTGACAACGGGGTCGCAGAAGAACCGAGAGCCGCGCTTGGCGCTCCGGGCGGTGAACGGCACCGTCTTCAGCACTGCATGGGAACAACAACAGCCAGACACACAAACCAACATCAGCAGGGCTCCAGGGCATTAGTGCAGGGTTAGTGCTCCACCAGGGATGGCCAGGGACACTCTGACACGGGCCAACAGCTCCCTGAAAGCTGCTCCTCAGCGGGCTTTGGACGCGGCAGCAGAAAGGATCGAGGAAGGATTTAATCGGCTCGTGGAATTCCAGAATGGTTTGGGTTGGAAGGGACTTAAAACTCATCTCATCCCACCCTCTGGACACCTTCCACTAGAGCAGGTCGCTCTAAGCCCTGTCCAACCTGGCTTGAACACTCCCAGGGACGGGGAGCTCCATGATTTCCAGGGATAAGGAGGTGACCTCAGTCCTACCTGACTCCCTGTGCCTGACCTTCACCACTCCATGGCTCGAGCCACCCCCACAATGGGAAATGCCAGCTAATCCATGGCTCGAGCCACCCCCATAATGGGAAATACCAGGCACGAGGGCACAGGAAATGTTTGAGTTGAAATGTCTCATCTGGCACCCCCTCCACTGGATGCCTTTTCCATAGGGAAGGGCATCTGCCACACAGTGTTTCTCCCCCGGAGCAGCAGAACCACTTTCCCAACCCAATAAGCTCCCAGGAGTCTGGAGGAGCTGGAGAAGCGCTGACAGATTGGATATTACTGCCAGCCTGCCCTTTACATCCAGAATATTATCTCAGGAAGCCATTAATCAAGGTTAAAAGGAGTTGGGAGAGCTTCACACTCGTCAGCCCTGTCCTCTGGCTGGGCAAAAGCTCCCTGGCTTTCCTTAGTGGCTGGTAAAACAGCTCCTGCCCCTCTGCAGCAAAAACTTCCAGGAGCAGTAGGAAAAGATCTTTTTTGAGTTTCTGTGCAAGGAAACACAGGATTGTGGAGTTATTGAAGTGTTAAATCGTGTTCCTTGTGCACAACGTGCAGAAAACTCCAAATACTGCCAAATCAGAGCAGCTGGACTGGTTAAAAATGGTTTAATTCCCTGGCAAAATGCAGTTTTAGGTGGTTTTTTCTATTGGCAAATAGTGGTACCCAAGTCCTGCCTGTGCCTGGCTGCACTAGGGGGTGTGTCCCTCCCTCAGGGACCAGCCCAGACTCTGCCTGAGCAGGGACCAGGAGCAGTTTGGGGTCATGGATCCCTGGTTTGATCAAGTGATTTGCTGTAACTCTGCAGTCCCTGTTAGAGCGTTTTCCTGAAAGTGGAGGCTCTTCACCACGTTAAACACCTGTCATCTGGGGGGAAAAAGGGACAGATCTGCAGGGCAAGCACATCCCAGTGAGAGAACTCTGGGATCAGGCACTCCCTGGCTGCTCTAAAGCCCCGGGAATGTCCCCACCCCTGGAGGAGAAGGACTAAGACACCGAGCAGAGCCTTCAGGAACCAACACCCTCAGCTCTGCTGCGGCTTCAAGGAGGACACGGAGCCCTTGCAGCAGCTCCTGGGCAGCTCCCAGAGCTGTTCCCTGCGGGAGGGCCCTGGATCCCCCCGGGAGGAGGGTTACCTGTGATGATGTCCTCGATGGCCCCGTCCTTGCCCTCGTACACGTGCCGGTTGTCCTTGACCTGCCGCCGCCGCAGCTCCGCGATCAGCTCCTGCTGCTGCCGCTTGGTCTTGTGGGAGGGGGACTGCAAACGAGGAGAGGGGTTGGAAGGACGGACCTCCTGCTCTCCTGCCTCTGCCCCAACCTCACACACCGACTGGGTGGCGACCAGCACACAGGAACTGCCCCTTTTCCCCCCATTTTCCAAGGCTGGAACACCCTCGTGTGCCGGTGACTCGCATCCCAGGGAGAAGCCAGAGAAGGAGAACTTTTAACTCCTGGACACGTGGAAAAGACAACTTTCCACTTAGTTTTCCTTAATTTTTCAGACTTCCAAAGCAGTAGAAGCACAAACTTTCCCAGCTTATCCCAGCTCTTTCCACATAAGGAGGAAACTTCCAGAGGCTATTTCCAGGCAACTACAAGTTGGGCAACCGAATTCCTCCCCTCCAGAGCGGAGGTTTCTGAAGCACCAGGAACATGATCCCACCTGGGAGGTGGGTCTGGGCCATACCTTTTGGTCCTGCTGCTCCATCAACGCTTCCTGCTCCATGAGTTTTTCCATTAAGGCCTGTTCCTGCTTTTTCCTCAGCTCATTCTCTTCTTCTGCTTGCTATTTATGGGAAAAAACCAGAGGTTAGAGCTTCCAGGGGAGACTGGGATCCTAAACAGTGCCAGGGAGGAATGTCAGCAGGTGCTACTGAGGGGAGGGCAAGGGAGGGGAAGAGGAGGAGGAGAAGAAGGAGGAGCAGAAGAAACAGGGAAGGGGGAAAGGGGAAAAGGGAAAAGGGAGAGGAAAAAGGAGGAGAAAGGAGGAGGAGAAGAAGAGAAGAAGGAAGAGGAGAAGGAAGAGGAGGAGAAGGAAGCTCCTGCTTACCTTGTAGGCCTTCACAAACCGGACAAACACTGGGAAGAAGACCGAGGGGGGAGTTGTCTTGGGATTCTCCCCAAAATACTTCACAGCATCATCAAAGGCATCCTGCAACAGGCACAGATTTACTGCACTGCCCAAGGTCACCTCCCCATTCCCACTGTGCATTCCATGGACACAGAGCACATCCTGTGGGGAGAGCTCACACGCTCCTGCCAAACCCCGAGGAATGAGGGGTACCTGGGCTATTTTGGCGTCGTCCTGCAGCTTCTTGAGCTTGCCCTCGTTGTTCTGGATGAAGTCCTTGAGCATGGTGTTGTGGTCGTGCATGGTGTACTCGCGCTTCGTCAGCTCCAGGCCCCGCTGCAGCTCCTTCACGTCCAACAGCACGTTCTCCAGGGACACTGGGAACGGGACAGAGGCTGCAACCCACAGCCCGGGGGGGTCCCTGCCCGGAATAGCCACCCCTGGGGGGTGGAGGAGGCCGAGGGAGGGTCACAGTACCTGCTGCTGCCTTCTCCACGTAGTGCAGCTCGTTGTAGAAGAGGGACACGTGCTGGTACTTCTCCTTGACCACGTTGGAGATGTAGTGCAGCAGCGTCTGCTTCCGGTCTGTCGACTTGGTTTCCAGGAGCTGTGGGCAACAGGCCAGGAGATGGAGCAGCAGGTTCCAAGCAAAGAGACCCACCGGTGCTTCTCCAGCTCCATCATGGTTTTCCGTGCTGGGAAGCACCAGCTGAGTCCCTCAGCAGCCACTCAGCCTGGACATCACTGCCCTCGGGTCACCACAACCCCGTGGAACATTCCAGGATGGGGTCTGGAAAGCTGGAAAGGGACCTGGGGATGCTGAACATGAGCCCAGGTGTGCCCAGGTGGGAAATGTCACCTGGGCTGTGCCAGCCCTGGTGTGTCCCAGCCCCAGGGCAGTGCCCGTCCCACCTTCAGTGCTGGGGCAGTTCTGGGACCTCAGACAAGACACGGAGGGGCTGGAGCGTGTGCAGGGAAGGGAATGGAGCTGGGAAGGGGCTGGAGCAGCAGGAGGGGCTGAGGGAGCTGGGGGGGCTCAGCCTGGAGAAAAGGAGGCTCAGGGGGGACCTTCTGGCTCTGCAACCCCCTGACAGGAGGGGGGAGCCGGGGGGGTGGTCGGGCTCTGCTCCCAGGGAACAAGGGACAGGAGGAGAGGGAACGGCCTCAGGCTGTGCCAGGGGAGGCTCAGGTTGGATACTGGGGACAATTTCTTCCTGGAAAGGGTGGTCAGGCATTGGAAGGGGCTGCCCAAGGAGGTGGTGGAGTCCCCATCCCTAGAGGGATTTAAAATCCATGTGGATGTGGCACTTGGGGACAGGGGTCAGTGGTGGCCTGGGCAACGCTGGGTTGAGGGCTGGACTCAATGCTCTCATGGCTTTTCCAACCTAAATGACCCTACAACCCCAATTCCCACCTGGTCCCACCACACACCTCTTGCTTTACTTACCAGGTCTAAACTCTGCAGCTTAAACCCATAGACAGCCCCTCGTTTGCTGCTGTTCATGTAGTTCCCAAGAGCCAGGATTATCTGCCAGGAGGAAACAAGCAGGGCATGAATTTTCAGGACAAGTGTCCAGGGCTTTAAAAACTCCCAGAAGCAGAGCTGGTGTCAGACCTACCTCCAGTATTTTCTTAAGCTTTTGGGATGACTTTATGGAGACAGAGGCAGCGATTATGGCGTGGAGTTGCTGCAGACAAACACAGGAAGGGCTTGGTTAATGCAAGTTCCACCAGGAGTTAAATGAGCATCTAATCACATCCTGAAAAAATCCTCTTATTTTTCATCCACACCAGGGGCCTGAGCATGGATGTCCCTCTGCTCTGGAGCCAGCCTGGGAGAGCTGAGGGGGTTCACCTGGAGGAGAGAAGGATCCAAGGAGAGCTGAGAGCCCCTTCCAGGGCCTAAAGGGGCTCCAGGAGAGCTGGAGAGGGACTGGGGACAAGGCATGGAGGGACAGGACATAGAGAATGGCTTCTCACTGCTAGAGGGCAGGGCTAGATGGGATATTGGGAAGGAATTCCTGGCTGGGAGGGTGGGGAGGCCCTGGCCCAGGTTGGGCAGAGAAGCTGTGGCTGCCCCTGGATCCCTGGAAGTGTCCAAGGCCAGGTTGGACGGGGCTTGGAGCAACCTGGGCTGGTGGAAGGTGTCTGCCCATGGCAGGGGGTGGGATGAGATGATCCTCAATGTCCGTTCCAACCCAAACCATGTTGTGATTCAATGGATGTTCCCCTGTCCTGACACACCAGGATTTCAAACCATTCATTTGCCCACCAGATTTACCCCCTCAGGCATGGTGGGGTCAAAGAGGATTCACATTTCAATCCCTACAACTGTGACAGGTGCTTTGGGCTGGGTGGGACACAATTCCGGGAGCTCACAGACCAGGACCCACAGTAACCTAATGGGGCCCTGAGGCCTGTGGGGCCTTTGGGTCCTACGGGACACGTGAGGCCTAATGGCACTATGGGGCCTATGGGGCCTGTGAGGCCTCTGGGATCTATGGGGCCTGTGGGGCCCATGAGGCCTACAGGGTTTATGGGGTCCATGAGTCCTAATGGGCCCATGAGAGCTATGGGGTCCATGAGTCCTAATGGGCCCATGAGGGCTATGGGGTCTATGGGGTCCATGAGTCCTAATGGGCCCATGAGAGCTATGGGGTCTGTGGGGCTTGTGAGGCCTATGGATCCTATGAGGCCTGTGAGGCCTACAGGGCTTACAGGCCTGTGAGGCAGTCCCTAACAGTCCAGGCTACAACTGCCACACAAACAGCTCCTGGGATATACAGTCATTAACAGATCAAAATAAAGCCAGAAAACCACTTTTCCATTTGTGTGTGTGTTTCTTGGGGGGTGGTTGGCACTGACCAGGCTCCCCAGGGCAGTGGGCATAGCCCCAAGGCTGCAGAGTTCCAGGAGGGTAGAGGGACAGGGTGGGATTGTTGGGGTGCCTGTGCAGGGCCAGCACTTGGCTCGGTGACCCCCAGCTCAGGATATTCCCGGATTCCACGGCTCACCGGGGTCAGCATCTGGATGCTCTCGGCGAAGTTGCCGATGAAGGCCATGATGGTCATTTTCTGCATGAGCCTCTCGATCTTGCTGAACTGCATCATGAACCGGTCCTCGTCCGACAGGTTCTCGATGGGTTTCCGCTCCCGCTCGTACAGACGCAGCACCTTCACCTCGTTCTCCGTGGGCAGGAACCGCATCAGGCACTCCACAAAATCCACCGGCAGCGTCTTCAGGTCAAACCTGCGGCACAACGCCAGGAGAAGAGCTCAAGGACAGCCTGGACGGGGCTTGGAGCAACCTGGGATAGGGGAAGGCGTCCCTGCCCATGGCAGGGGGTGGCACTGGATGGGCTTTAAGGTCCCTTCCAACCCAAACCAGGCTGGGATTCAGCCCTACATGAGTCTGAGTCAGCAGAGAAGAAACTGTGAAGTTCTTCCTGCCCTGCACCTGAAGCTCCCTGCACATGGAGATGGGAACAGGTTATTGGGCTGATGGACACTCTACTTCCCATTCCAAAGATATGTGGCCATCACCTACATCCCTCCATGGCCACAGCTCTTTTTTGTAAGAGAAAACAGGTGGGGAAGAGCAAATATTTTTATTTAATTGGAGCAGAGCCCTGTAAAAGTCCAACAACTGAACCTGCCTCGATGTGGGGTAGGTTTGGGTCACCCTCCAGCCCAAAGGTAACGCTTTTGATCCACATTTTTAGGATATTCCTTACTGGAGGAATGGGAGATGTTTGTCATGGCCATGAGAAGCATGGAGTGTGGATGGATTTGGGATCAGCCCCAAGGAGCAGCTGCACCTGCACTCAGTCCCCAGGAGCAGGGAAGGGTCTGGATCGGGGTGGGATGGGGCACAGACAAGTCCCATGGACACCCACATTTGGCACTGCCTGAGGCCACCACACAAACCTAATTCCATGCAAAATCTCTTCCAGCACCTGGACTAAACTCATCCTTTACGGAGTAAACCAAGAGAGTTCCCTCTTCCTGATTCTCTGCCTTTTGGGTGCTCACTGGAACAGAAAATATTGTGGAACCAGAGGGAGAGTTGCAATGGCAAACTACAGGATATAGGATATGGATCCACTATCCTGTGCACAGACAGGAATTAGCTGCTTGAACAACAGAAGTGTTAATTTGTTAAGCCTCAGCAGTGATTCAGAGACACAGAACTGCCAGGTTTTCATTTGAGTTCAAGGCAATCTGATTTCTGGGAATTCAGAACCATTCCCTCCTTACCCCTGGATATTTTCCAGAGACATCAACTGCCAATTCCAACCCTTTCCACCGACTAAACCCCCAGTAAATCTCAGGGTTTCTTGGCTGGCCAGTGCTTCACTTACACGTGGATGGCCTTGCAGATCTCGTCCGCCGTCTTCCCGGCTTTCCGGAGAGTTATGGCCAGATTCTTGGCCCTGTTGGCATCCAGCAACGTGACCTTGTTGGAGCCTTTCTGGGTGATCTTCTGCTTGCTGGAGGTCAGATCAATGGCTGGGCCCTGGGCCTTTGTCTTGAAGATTTCTTCAAATTCATCCACGTTTAGATCCTAAAAAGGAAAGGAAATGATTTATCCCTCTCGCAGGGAGACTGAACCCAGTCCCTAATCCTGGGCCAGAGCTGCAGGGAAAGGGGCTGAGACTGGAGCAGAGTATCATGGAATGGGTTGGGATGGAAAGGATCTTAAAGCTCATCCATTCCCACCCCCTGCCATGGGCAGGGACACCTTCCACTAGCCCAGGTTGCTCCAAACCCCATCCAACCTGGACTCAAAATTCAGAATATTTCCATCAGGGATGGAAGGAACACTTGCTCCTGAGTTGGTGATCAGAAATCTGGCCAGAGTCCAGAAATCCAGCCCCAACAGCCCTTCAGATGTTCTAAAGTTCAGGAAAATATTCACATTAGCACTCATGCTTTATCCAGCCCACAGGGAGCATCCAGGACCTGGATGAGCCCTTTGCCAAGGTCACTGCCATGGTCTATCCCTGGGGAGACCTTCTCACTGTCCAATTCCCTGGCAGGAGGGGGGAGTCAGGGGGGGTCGGGCTCTGCTCCCAGGGAACAAGGGACAGGAGGAGAGGGAACGGCCTCAGGCTGTGCCAGGGGAGGCTCAGGTGGGACATCAGGAGGAATTTCCTCATGGAAAGGGTGGTCAGGCCTTGGAAAGGGCTGCCCAGGGAGGTTTGGAGTCCCCAGCCCTGGAGGGATCTAAAATCCATGTGGATGTGGCACTTGGGGACAGGGGTCAGTGGTGGCCTTGGCTGTGCTGGGAGATGGTTGGACTCAGCGATCTAAGAGGGCTTTTCCCACCCATTCCATGACTCCCTCGTGGCCAGAGAGGCCCGGGAGCAGCGGGGGTACCTCGAGGATCCTCTCGTCGTCGATCTCGTTGAAGACGGTGCCGTTGATCTGGTTGGGCTTCAGGGCCACCCAGTTGAACACGGGCATGCGGAACTTGGTCTTGATGGGCTTCTTGATCTTCACAGCTGCACACAGGGCAGAGGAAACCACAGATCCCTGAGGGACTGGCTGCAGAACACCCCACATTCCCAGAGGGCAGCTCTCCAGCTGGCATTTCAGCACTGGAAAACGGGCCAGAGCTGAATTATCCCACTGGAATCCTGGAAAGGTGTCACTACCTCGAGAGGCCAACGGTGGCACCCAGCCCTGAGCTGCTTCAGGCCCAGCCTCTGCAGGCCTGGCCTAACCCTCAGAGGCTGTGAAAACTTCCCTAAAGGAAATCTGGGATTAGTTTATTGCCACAAGCTGCCTGGATTGATTTAAAAGCCCAGTATTTATATTTAAACACCCCAGAAAATGGAGAGAGCAGTTGAATTGAAGCCTGTCCTGTTGCTGGCAGAGCAGTGTCACACACCCCAGGAGCTGTGTCCCAAAACAGGTGACAAGAAGGGGAAAAAAGCCCCTTTCCCACGGTTTTTGGGGAAACCGCATTGGGCAGAGCTGCTCCTCAGCAGGTTTGTGTTTCAGAGCCAAAGGGGTTGGGCTGCAGCACCTGGGACTTAACAGGGGTGAAGAAACCGGGTTTTAATTCCTGTGCTGTGCAACTGCAGTAAATTAAAGTAATTTAGGAACTTTACAGTCAATTAGGAACTTCAACAGAGGAGCTATGAAAATGAAGCCTGAAAATTAAACTTGATTACTCTCATTAATCTGTGAACAGAGGAGAAAACGCAACATGGGAGCAATGAACCCAATCCCTTCCTATTCCTGTTCCTATTCCTATTCCAATTCCAACAGGTCTGGAAGGTGAATAATGAATAAGTTCTGTAATTCAGTTCTCATTTCTTTGTACCTTGATGTAAACATGAAGTTGTTCCTTGCTACAAAATCAAGGTGCTCGTTAAAGTGCTCAATCAACCTTTTGCTCCTGAATTATTTAAAAGAGAAATTGTTTCTTTGCAAACATGAAACATAAACCCTGGTCCTTCCTCTCCAGTGCTGGGAACAAAGAGCCACAAGTGGATAACAGGGGACATCCACAATATTCCAGTGTATTTTGAGAATTAAAAGTATGCAACTGCAAGGCAGGAACCCACGTGCTCATCTCCACCACACAGTTTTCCTCTCTGCTTAATTAATGAGGTTACTTAAAATAATTCCTAAAATAAATAAAAAAAGCTTTGAACACCCATGAAAAAAACCATTTTCCGCTTGTGCATAAATTAGAATCTCATTAACTGCTCCTGGGTTATTCCAGGACAGGGAAGAAGCTGAAGCCTCGTGGGCCAGGTCCTGATGGAGCTCAAAATCTCTCCAGATTTCCCTTCCTCCTCCATTCCAGAGCTCTGGTGCCCAAATCCCCAGGGGTGGCACATCCCCAGGGCCTCCCCCTGCCCACCCCCACGAGTCCCTGGACACACACGGACACAGCACAGAGGGAAAAGCAGGAATAACAAATACTTAGCAGGGAGCAACCTACAGAAGAGCTTGATGGGCCCATCTTAGCAGGAGGCAGAGAGAACAGAGAAAACAGTGTTAGTGATGGTCAGAAAGGCAACATTTGTTATTCCCCGGACTCCCCTCACACCCAGAAGGTTCCTGCCCTAAAAACCCTCCTTCCTGAGGAGGCACTGCATCAGGAAAAGGCACTTGCACTCCCATTCCCAATCCTAACCCATTGAAGAACAGGATTTCCAGCTCCCCTGGCTCTGGGCATCTCACCCAGATGTGAGTGAGGAGCTGGGCCAGGCGGGCTTGGCCACTGCTCCCATCCCAAATTAACACCCAGGGATGTTGGGATAAGGCACCTCCTGTGCCCCCTGCAGCCCCCCACGGCCACATCCAGCACCCCTTTCCCAAATCCCTCCAGAGGGATCAGCCCTCAGCAGGGCTGTGCCTTCTGTGCTTTATTTTTATCTAATTCCCCCTGGGACCCTCTAGTTCCAGGATGCTTTTGGCCTTCAGAGGAAACTTTAAAGGCTGGAATACTTAATCAGATTTTTCTTCTTGAAAAAAAGCTCTTAATTAGAGCTCCTCAGTCTCTTTTTTTTTGGACTCATTATGTGCTCTTGAGGCTTCTGGTGACAGTCAGCATTTACTCACTGCCTGAGACACTTGGCACGTGCCAGAGAGTGACTAAAAACACCATTAAAGAAGGCCTGCAAATTGTTCTGCCTTCCAAAAAATTCCCCAAAGTTTGCCCCTTTTTTTTTTGCACAGACATTTCTTCTCAGAAGAAATGCAACCCATGGAGCTTCACGTTTCTTTCAAACCCACTTTTTGTCTGCTCAAAAGCCAAAACCGATCATGTTTAAAAAGCACTTTTGGCACGGGCTTTGTCTCACTGGAGAATCCAACTCTTCCAGACCAAACCAAAGCTGTCAGGCTGATAAATCACAGAACCACAGGATGGTTTGGGTTGGAAGGGACATTAAGGATTATCTCATCCCACCCCCTGCCATGGGCAGGGACACCTTCCACCAACCCAGGTTGCTCCAAGCCCCGTCCAACCTGGCCTTGGACACTTCCAGGGATCCAGGGGCAGCCACAGCTTCTCTGGGCAACCTTGGAGAACCTTAAATGCTTTTTTCTTCCATAAACTCCTTGGTGTTACAGCAGTTATGGGATTTACTCAGGTGACCGAGCACTGAATTCCCCAAGGCTGTGCCCTGACCCCCCCTTTGCTGCCACACCCGAGTTTTACCTGCAAGGCCTGAGTTGAAGACCACGGTGGGAGAGGCCGTCCCGGGCAGGGGGGGAGCTGAGGGAGGGGGTGGTGGGGGCAGTGGGGCTGCTGGAGCCGTGTCCAGAGCCGGTCCTGGCAGAGGAGGAGGAGGAGGAGGCGGTGGGGGTGGCGGGGGGGGCGGCGGGGGAGGCGGCATCGGCACCGACACGGGGCCATTGGGCACTGCGGGGGCAAGGGAGAACCAGGGGTTACCATGGACATGGACTGGGAGACCACGGGCACAGGGAGAGTCACAACATCCCCTTATCCCCCCCCACATCCCTGTCCAACATCCCCTCATCCCCCCACACATCCCTGTCCAACATCCCCTCATCCCCCCACACATCCCTGTCCAACATCCCCTTATCCACCCACACATCCCTGTCCAACATCCCCTCATCCCCCCACCCACCCCTGTCCAACATCCCCTTATCCACCCACACACCCCTGTCCAACAGTCCCTTATCCCCCCTTCCATCCCCTCTCCAACATCCCCCGATCCCCCCCTCTCCACCCTCCACTGGTTGGACCCTTCACTGAAGTCCTTTGGTGCATCAGCACAGGAGGAACCCCCTACTGAAGAAGGTTCCATCTCTTCCATCCCCTGAAGGGCTCAGAACTGGATCCCACAGCCCCTGGATGCACCACAGCTCCTCACCTGCCTCAGGAGTCCCTGCCATGGCAGGTAGGGGTGGTGGAGGTGGTGGCAATGGCACTGAGGATGCAGCTCCAGGTGTGCCAGGTGTCCCTGACACCTCTGACCCTGCTGGCACCATCCCAGAGGCCAGAGCCACGGGAAGGATGGAGATGTCCCCATCCCCTTTCTTCTGGATCTTGATGGTTCCCTGCTTCTCCAGCTCGTGGATCTTCTTCTCCAGTGTGGACTGGCGCTGGATGGCTTCTTCCTTCTCCTTCACCATCTTCCTCAAGGTGTGAACTTGGGTATTGGCATCTTTGTAGATCTCCTGGAATGACACAGAAACGTGGAATTTGCACTCAGAATTCCAACTGCAGGATCAGAACAGCCTGGCCCTGAATGTCACTGACACTGAGCTCTGACCAAACCACGTCTCCACTCGGTGTGTTCCCAAGGAGCCACCAAGGCTATGCTGAAACCTCCCCTGTGGACACCAACACCTGGGGGTGCAGAACTTCTCAGCACCTCCTCCTCATGCTGCCTCTCCTTTCTTGTGCTGCTCTTTGACCCCTCAGGACAAGAAGGACATGGAGGGGCTGGAGCGTGTCCAGGGAAGGGAACGGAGCTGGGAAGGGGCTGGAGCAGCAGGAGGGGCTGAGGGAGCTGGGGGGGTTCAGCCTGCAGAAAAGGAGGCTCAGGGGGGACCTTCTGGCTCTGCAACCCCCTGACAGGAGGGGGGAGCTGGGGGGGGTCGGGCTCTGCTCCCAGGGAACAAGGGACAGGAGGAGAGGGAACGGCCTCAGGCTGTGTCAGGTTGGACATCAACAGGAACTTCTCCCTGGAAAGGGTGGTCAGGCCCTGGCAGGGGCTGCCCAGGGCAGGGGTGGAGTCCCCATCCCTGGAGGGATTTCAGAGCCCTGTGGATGTGGCACTTGGGGACAGGGGTCAGGGGTGGCCTGGGCAGTGCTGAGGGATGGTTGGACTCGATCTTGGAGGGCTTTTCCAACCTAAATGATTCTGCAATTCCATGCCCTGTGAGCAGACAAAGGGAAGCAGCAGCACAGTTCCTGCTCTAGAGAGGAGGCTGTACCTGCACATACCCAGGGCAGACCCCCAGAAGGAACCCCAGAAGCCCCAACCCTTGGGACCTCAAAAACCCCAAATGGAAACTCTCCAGCCCTGAGCAATAAGATGCCTTTGTCTCATTCCCTCATTTGCTGCCACACTCGCAGTTCCGGGTCCTTTGGAGTGCACACACAAGGAATTCCACCTCAAATCTGTCCCAGGTTCAAATTTGGCAGTCAAGAGAAGTCACTGCCTCAGACCCATCACCTCCCCCAGCCCAGGAGCTCCCAGGCAGAGCCTCCCCCATCCCACTCACCCGGATCACATCCAGTTCTTTGTTCCTTTGCATAAGTTGCTTTTCCAGTTCCACAATCTTGGCCATGGCCTCGTTCTCCGTATCCTGGAGTTTTTCAGATAACTGTCAATCCAAAGAGGAATAGATTAATTAAGTGGAAAACTGTAGTTTTATCCATCAAAACATCAGGACACTTGTTGGAGCAGTGGGACATGGTTATTACGGATATTCAACCAAATCCTGAGGCCTTCCTTTGGAAATAAAAAGGGTTCCTGCCTGAGATGAGGGACATCATGTGCCCCACTGAAGGTTCCTGTGATGAATGTCACCCCTCAGCTGTGATCTGCAGATGCCTGGCTGGACCATCACTCTGGGCCTGTCCAGACAAGAAAGTCTATTCTGCAATAAAGCTCTTAAAATGTAATTCCTTTTTCCTCCCCGGGAGGGTGGGGAGGCCCTGGCACAGGTTGCCCAGAGGAGCTGTGGCTGTCCCTGGATCCCTGGAGGTGTCCAAGGCCAGGTTGGAGCAACCTGGAATAGTGGGAGGTGTCCCTGCCCATGGCAGGGCGTGGAACTGGATGACCTTTAAGGTCCCTTCCCACCCAAACCATTCCATGATTCTGTGACACCTCAGAGGGGCAAAGTGTTTAAAACCATATTTATTCTAAGTAATACAGGAGTGGCGAGAGAATGGAGATCATTTGATGGCTTTTTTAAAGTCTGGAAAACCACTTTTTTATTATTTTCAAAAAGCCAAGCCACATGCCCTGGACTGGAGGAACTGACCCCAGGGTTTGGGAGAGCAAAGTGTGAGCAGACACTGAACTGAGCAAACTCTGAGGGTCTCCACAACCCTATTTTTCATCCCTTCCCTCCTGAGCCCAGCAATGTGTCCAAGGCCCAGCCAGGAGGGTTTTCTGCTCTATTTAGGTCCTGCCCTGCTGAGGAATTGGGAATTTTGATGTAAATCAGCATTCTCAGCTCCTGAGACAACTCCTGTGCCAAGTGACTCCATCTGGAACAACCAACATCTGAACATCCCCCAACCCAGAGGCACAGCAGTCCCAGGGTTTTTCCAACCTCACTCCAGAGGCTGTGGCCCTGCACTGCCTGTGCTCCCACCTCCCAGAACGTCCCTCTGAGCTGAGACCAAGGTGCCCAGGTGTGGTACTAACGTGAGAAATGTTCTCTTCCAGTTCCTCCACCCTCTCCAGGGCCGCGTTCTTGGTTTCGGCGTCTTCCAGCAAAGCTCCCACGTCGAACACGTTGTCCAGGTAGGCCTGGATCTGCACCTGGAGCTTGTCACTCTCCGTGTGCTTCAGCTTCTGCAAAGCCAAGGGGACAAAGGTGGCACCGGGAATTGGCAGCGGGCTGGGAGGGCAGGGGGACCTCGGGACACCTCCCCCACCCAGGAAAACACGTGGGATTTGAATGTTATCTGGGGTCATAAGTGATAAACAGTCAGTTTTTGAAGACCAAACATCCAGAGCTTTCAAATGAAGCCAAGCAGCGCCTTATCTTCTGTTCTAGAGGATATTATGGTTTTCCTGCCCATGGCAGGGGGTTGGAACTGGATGATCCTTAAGGTCTTCCAACCCAAACAATTCTGGCATTCCATGATTTCCTCCGTGGTTTCTTGGCAAGGCTCTGTCTGGTCCCCCAAGGACTGCAGGGCTTGTGCCACCCCCAGAGCCCAAACACACGTGTGGTGGGTGCTGCCATGTCCAAAAACACCTTGCAGACCCCAAAGTCCCTCCCTCTTGAGTAGAAATCAGCAGGGACAAGTCAACACAAGCACTGTTTTCCTGGGTGTGTTCCCAAAAGGAGGGACAGGGAGAAAAATGGTGCCCAGGGAAGTGTGGCTACGCCTGGATCCCTGGAAGTGCCCAAGGCCAGGTTGGATGGGGTTTGGAGCAACCTGGGCTGGTGGAAGGTGTCCCTGCCCAGGGCAGGGGTGGAATGGGATGGGCTTTAAAGGTCCCTTCCCACCCAAACGAGCCTGTGATTCCATGAAAAACAGATAAAGGGAAACAAAAGCAGCTTCCTTCTGAAACCCAGCATTTCCCACAGGACACCAGAGCCCGTCTGGCTGCCAGGGAAAACCCAAAGGAGAGATTTTCCACCCCTGGAGATGGAAGGAGCCCTGGCAGCACCTGAGCCAGGGCCAACCTGAGGCCAGCAGCCCTGAGGGACGTGGCAGGGCGAGGGTGACTGTGGTTCATCCTCCCTTTGTTATAAGCAGAGCTCCACATTTAGCTCCAGGCTGTAATTCCAGTTGGCTGCAGCCCAATTCCCTCCCGCTGGGACGCTCCAGTCACAGCCCCCCTGGAGCAGCCAGGACACAGCCCTGGGAGCAGGGACTGTGGGACAACAGCTCTGGGGTGAGGGGTTTGGGGGGTTCAGGGCTGGGGCTGTGTTGGAGGGGGTAGATCTGGGTGGGACTCACATCCAAGTACTCGTCCAGGCCCAGCTTGGTGAACTCGTACTGCAGGTGCACTCGGAAGTTCATGTCCTCCACGGAGTGTACCACGATGTTGATGAACTGCATGCAGGCCACCTGCAAGGACAACACAGAGTGACCCCCAGCTGTCCCCACAGCCCCACACCGGGGTCGGAACAGGTTTTCCAGGACCAGGATCAGAGCGGGATCTCCAGGGCCGGACACGGCCACGACCACGTTTCCTTGTGGTTACTCCGAGGGGAAAACCATGAGCTGCTGTTCCGAAAGGGTTTATTTCCAAGGCAGTGCTTGGATTTTGTCTGCTGGGATGAAGGGAAACGCGAGTTCCAGGAATTGAGTCATGTCTCCAGGCCACCTTCCCGGCGTGCCGGTGAGCGGGAACGCTGCCCCTGCCAGCTCCCAGGGCCAGAGCAGACATCACACGAGCTCTAAAGAAAACAATGTTGTTCCTCAAACTGCCTGGAAAAGTGAGATTAATGTGGGGACTGGAACCCCCAGTTCAGGAAACGGGACTCGCACAAAAGGCGCTTTGTTGGGTGCCCAAAGCACGTTCCCAAAGCTGTGGGTTGAGGATCAGATCACTGGAATTGGCATCCACACATGTCCCAGCACAGCCAAAGGAAGGCAAAGGCTCTTCCTTTCCAAGAAAACCTGTGGAGCGGAAGGAATTGGGGTAGAAACCCCAAAAAGTTTGTCCTTCCCCTGAATGCAAGGCCAGGCCTCGTCCTGCTCTGCACAGGCACCCCCAGCCCTCTCCCAGCTCCCTGGGGATCATCCATCACCCTCTGAGCTGCCCCAAGACAGGGTTTGCCTCATCCTTGCTGGGTTTCTCAAGGACATAACCTCATCCTGTGAGCAGTGCTGCAACAGGGATAATTCCAGCTTCCCAACAGCCACCGGGACACCTCTTGGATCTCCAGAAGGAACCTGAGGCAGCAAAAATCAAAACAACCTGAAAAAGGCTCCTGAAAAGCCTCCAGGAGACCCCACAGCTCTGGGGCATTTGGTGGGAAGAAAGAAGTGAAGGCCCCCACTGGATGACCAGTTTGGTACTGGAACTTGGCCAGTTCCCTGTGATCTGGCCCACAGGATAAACTCAAGGGGGCAGATCTGCCCTGTGATCCCAGGGCTGGTTGGGGTGTCCCGAGCTGCTCCTTCCAGCTGCAGCTCCCAGAAATCACTGGGATGCCATAAAACCTTCCCAGCCAAACTGTCCCAGCTTTGGAGGAACTGGGACCACAAGGACACTCCAAAGGTCACTCAACAGCTCCACTGGATTCCCTGCTAGGCCCTGACCAGCTTTGACAACTCTGTGTTCCAAAATCACTTCAACAGGGTTGTGAGACTGGTAAGAGGGACAAAACCAAGGAACAGAGGAAGGAGGATGGTCTAAAAACTCCTCCAGGAGCTCCTGGAATGGATCATTCACAGCCCTTGGTGTGTCCCCATCTCCTACAGGAACAACCCCATCCATGCTCCTGGAAACCTCAATCCAGGTTCCAATCCATGCTCCTGGAAACCCAAATCCAGGTTCCAATCCATGCTCCTGGAAACCCAAATCCAGGTTCCAATCCATGCTCCTGGAAACCTCAATCCAGGTTCCAATCCATGCTCCTGGAAACCCAAATCCAGGTTCCAATCCATGCTCCTGGAAACCTAAGCTGAGGTTTCAAGCCTTTTCAGGACCCTTTCCAGCTGCTGTGGTGGACCCTGGTTCCTCCCAGTGCTGCTCCCAGCCTTCTCCAGCTGATCCCTGCTGTCCTGTGCCTCCCCCAGAGCCAAACTCCCCTATCCAAGGGTGCTTTTGTGATCCTTGCTGTGGCTCTCGCAACATCAGGGCCAAATTCTCATTTCCTTTCCCAAATCCTTACATACACAACTAAGGAATTTCTCCTCCAGCTCCAGGCTGGTTCTACACTCCAGACCGTGGCTGGGGGAGCAGCCCAAAGATGCAGATTTTGTTTATATTTGGGCAAGTCCTAAAAAAAACATATTCATCCTTTTTCAAGAAAATCTCAATGCAATTTTCAGCCTAATGAGAGGAGGGAATTTTCTTCCAGGCTGCCCACATGGATGCTGAACATTCCCAGCTCTCCAGGCTTGTATGGACACTCACATGCAGATTCCCTGTTACATCCTTACAATACATCATTTAACATCTTAAGGTGATAATGATGGGACAAGAGGAAATGGTCTCGAGTTGCTCCAGGGGAGGTTTAGGTTGGATTTAAGGGAAATTTTCTCCATGGAAAGGGTTGTCCAGCCCTGGCACAGCTGCCCAGGGCAGTGGTGAGTTCCCATCCCTGGAGGGATTTCAAAACCCTGTGGATGTGGCACTTGGGGACATGGGTCAGTGGTGGCCTGGGCAGTGCTGCTAAATGGTCTGAGAGGGTTTTTCCAACCCAGATGGTTCTGGGATTCTCTAACAGATGATTTCTTTCCCTAAAAAGTGGACAAACCCACAGTTCCAGTGAGGTGGCTCAGGCTGCTTCCCTCCCACTCCCCAAATTCCATCATCCCTCCCAGTGAGCATGGAAAAAAAATGACTGAGAGTTGGGATCTGAGGACTGAGAAATCTTTCTGTTATATTACAGACTAAATACTCCATGTTTTCTGTGCCTACCAACCTGTCCTTGCAGGGACACCGATGCAGGAATAAGGAACGAACCCAATGCAATGTGTCAGAGTTACTGAGAGCAGCTGTTAATTGGAGTTAAAATGCAGAGATCACTGTAATTTTCTCTTTTTCTTTTTAAATCCAAGAAATCTGCCATCCTGGCTCACTCACACCACCTCCTTTTTATCCTGCTGTCCCCCTGGAAGCCACGGACACAGAGCATTCAAAGCCTGGAGGAAACACCCCAGTGGGTGCTCTGACACCTAATTCTTGGCAGAAAAAGATCTTTAACACAAAGCTCGGCACTGAAATGGTTTAAAGCATCACAGATGGTTCACAGAAGCCTCAGAAAACCAGCTGGGGTGGGAATTCCTCCTGCTCTGCTCCCACTTCAGGCCGGGCCCACACGGGATCCAAGCCCTGAGCAGGAGCAGCGCAAGGGAGATTTTCTCTGATTAAATATATAAGACTTTAATTTCTCCCATTTCTCACACAAGCACAAGTTAAAAAACCAGATATAGAGGTATTTTTGGTAGCAGACACATCCTCCCTGCCACAGCCTCCCACGTGATGCCAACGTGCTGGTGCCTGTGCCAGCCAGAGCTTCCCCTCTCCCTGTTCCCTCTTTGTGCTCCAGGGGAAGTGGGTTTGGTGAAAAAGTCATGCAGATGCACACTGAGGAACCAAAAGTGGTGCAAGCCACTGCTACATTTATCAGCAGATAAGGACAGGCAGCAGCTGGAGAGAGTCTCTCCCACACTTCCCTGTCTGGGGCTCCCAGGATTTTGGCACAGGGACAGAACTGGATGTTGCAGAAGCTGCTGTGAAAGAGCACAAAGGGCCACTTCCCTCTTACCTTCACTGTGGCACAAGGCACTTCGGGAGGAAAAGTGAATGGGCAGCTAAAAATGAAAGGCATTTGGAACATAAATAATTGGGCTGTGGTGTTTTAGGCCCAGGATCAGGAGGCAGACACAGCTCAGGCACAGGAAACTCTGGAATGAGAGTTGCTGAGGGTCAATCCCACTCACCATGAAGTCTATGTTGTTGTCCTCGTTTCTGAAGTGCTCCATGAGCTTCTCGAAGCGCTGCTTCTCCCCACACACCTACAAAAAACAAGCACCACACCTTTGGTCAAGCACAGCTTGGGCAAAAAAACCCCAAACATTAAAAATGCAGATTTTTCTGCTCGTTCAAAACCTCTTTGTCCAGGTTGAAAATATTCTTCGTCAAAAAAATCCAGCTGAACAATTCTCTGTCAACACCTGCAGTGCGAGTCTGAGGAGTCAGGTACAATTATTATAGAGATACAATCATAAAATAGCTCTTTGTGGGTCTTTTCCCCTCACAGATTTCATCATTCTGAGTGTAAGAGTTGCACCAGGCCACGCCACAGGGAAGGCTCAGCCTCTCTCCTGGCTCCTCACTGTAATATCATGTAATTAGGAAGAAAAGCAAATTACAGGGAAGACAAAGGGAAAATTATCCCTGGCTAAACAAGGAGTGAAAATACATCAGTGTAACAATCAGGGTTGCAGAGCTGTAGCACGGGCTGCTGGCAGGAAACAAAAGCAATCTGGGGGAGAAAGAAGATCTAAGATAAAGCAGCTCTCAGGATATTGCTGAAATCTTAATATTCCCAGTAGCTCCTCTGGCTCAGTCCTGCTTCCCTCAGCACACAAATGATCTGCAGTAATCCCCAAGAAGACACAAAAGAGTAAATAAGTTTGGGAAGGACACTTCCCATCTCTGTAAGTGTTCGAGGAGCCCCCTGGTTTAATGGAAGGTATCCTGCCCATGGCAGGAGGTTTAAGTTTCCCTGTTTTCAGAGGGACAGAAGCAGCTCTGAAAGAAGCTGTTTTCACCTTAAAGGTCCTGGAAAAACAGATTCCAGTCATCTGGAGGACTGAAAGTTCCCTTCTGCTGAGAAAAACCCTTGGTGAGCCCTTGGCTTGCTGAAGTTGCATTTCAGTGTCTCCAGCTGAATCTTGAAGCCTCACCAGGTAAAATAAACCCTCAAACAACAAAGTATGAACCTCATGAAAAACAAATTACACTTGTTGCTCAAGCAAATTATCCTGATTTTAAACCCAAAGGACTCATCTCTCTCTGCAGGCCATGGCATGAAAGTGAAGCATTAAACACTTTTCCATGGGCTGCTCCACTAAAACCCAAAAAAACCACACATTAAGGTCTAAAATAGAGCAAACCAGACCCACTCTGGGATGGAGGAGTACTTTGATGAAGCACAAATGACCTGTCTGATGGGATCCCAGGAAAAGGCTGGGGGAGTTTGGAGATCACCACCCTCCTGGTTGTGAATCTCCAGTCTAATCCCAGGCCTTTCTTCAGGAGCAATCCTTGGAAAGCCTCCCTGCAGCATCAGGGATGGCCTTGCTGGGAGATCAAAGCCCAAACCCCCCCCACACCTCATTGATGGTCAGAGCAGCTCCAAGCAAAACCCAGGGCAAGGGATGTGGCCGAGTTTCAGGAAGCCCCTGGCAGTGCAGGGATCAAAGGCAGCAGCTGCTCCATGGGATCATTGGATTTGGGAGGCGTGGGCTGGGCTGGATCCAACCCCTGCTCCAAGCAAACCCCGGGAACCCTCTCCTTCATCACTCTTTAATTGCTCTGTGTTATATCCCACACAGTTTTTCCCTGCTGGAGCAACCTGGGCTAGTGGAAGGTGTCCCTGGCCATGGCAGGGGGTGGAATAGGGTGGGATTAAAGGTCCCTTCCAACCCAAACCACTCTGGGATTCCACGATGTCTCTTGTACCCACGTCACAAAAAACGGAGCCGATTTAACCAAAACCCTGGACTGTGGAACCAAACAGAACAATGGTGCATCTGATCCCTCACCAGTAAAGCCAGAAGGACTGATTTCTGGGAAATCTAATTCAAACCATTCCACAGGGATGAGAAAAGCTGACACAAACAACTCGGAGCCATTTAGGGCTGACTAATTAAACCGGGAGCAACCCAGAGTGCCCTGGCAGAGCAGATCCCAGGCTGGAGCAGCCCTGGCTGGCTGGGATACAGCAGCTGAGGAAGAGGAAAAGCAACAACCACCTGTGGCTTTCGGTGGCTGCTCCCAGATAGTTGAGATGAGTCAGGGCTGGGCCGTGTGTGTTTGAGGAGGCAGCAGAACTGACTTTCACGAAATGATATAATTTATCCTGGAAGATTAAAGAGAGTGAAACCGGAGCTGGAGCCTCCAGCCTGAAGACTGGCCCAAAGCCAAGGAGAATGCTGAAATCAAATCCCACCACATAAAACCATATGTTGCCATTTCTATTGGAATAAATTCCCGAGGCCTGTCATTTGGAAGCACGGTTGGGCCGAGGAGAGGCAGAGCTTTCTTTTATTGGCTTTATTCTGTGTAAGAAGCAAGATTAAACGAGTTACCACAGCTATAAAAACCCTGTGTCTCTGCTTGGGCTGTGAAAAAGCCCACTTTAGGTCCCATTAAGCCCACGTCATTCTGGAAGAACAATGTGGCTTTATGGAAAACCACCCACGGAGGGTCCTTTCTCCGGGTGCTAACGAAGGAAATCCAGCCCGGATCCGTTACAAAGCCACGACACAAGCCCGTAAGGAAGCAAAAGGATCTGTTATGAAAAATTCCGTGAGGATTGCACCCATATCCACCTGGCAGTGGTTCCCATCCAGACCACCCAAGAGCAAAGCTCAACTACGACGACCCTCGCGCTGTTCCCGCTCTCGGGGCCGGATCACTGGAAGATGTTCCAGAATCACAGAATGGTTTGAGGGGGAAAGGACCCTAAAGCCCATCTCATTCCAATGGGCAGGGACACCTTCCACTATCCTAATCTGCTCCAAGCCCCGTCCAACCTGGCCTTGGACACTTCCAGGGATCCAGGGGAGTCCACAACCCCTCTGGGCAGGGACACCTTCCACTATCCTAATCTGCTCCAAGCCCCGTCCAACCTGGCCTTGGACACTTCCAGGGATCCAGGGGAGTCCACAACCCCTCTGGGCACCTCGAACAGCAACCTGGGCAGGGAGCAGCAGACAGGGGGATTTGGGAAAACTGAAGATATTTTCACATGCAGTGTCAGGCAGAAGGTGAAACCCTGGGCTGGTAGAAGCACATCCATCACCCTCCCACCTCAGACACTCATCTCACACCACCACCTCAGTTTGCTGGAGAATGGAGCTCGTAACTAAATGTCACCACAAGCAGAGCCAGCGTGTTCCATATGGAGAGGGCAGTGAATCCAGGCAGGATTTCTGAGACACAGCTGCCAGACTGTGAACTCCTCCACATCTGGAGGACTGTCCCGGTACAAGGAGGAATGGCCTTAAGGTGAAGGAGGGCAGGGTTAGATGGGATATTGGGAAGGAATTCCTGGCTGGGAGGGTGGGCAGGCCCTGGCCCAGGTTGCCCAGAGAAGCTGTGGCTGCCCCTGGATCCCTGGAAGTGTCCAAGGGCAGGCTGGATGGGGCTTGGAGCAATCTGGGAGAGTGGAAGGTGTCCCTGCCCATGGCAGGAGGTGGGATGAGATGAGTTTTAAGGTCCTTTCCAATCAGGAAACACCTGGTGGTCCCAAACTCCAGGCAGAAAATGAAACCCTCTGGTTGCAGTTCCCTCGAGGTGAACTCAGCACCCCAAGTCAGGAAAACCACCCTCTGATGGAGCAAATTTAAAACACCTGAACTATAGGAGAGGCTTTGCAATACAAGACACGTTCTGTCAGTGCCAATGTTAAAATGACCCCCCCAAAGGCTGTTTTAAGCTTCTCCTCCTCCTCCAGTAACTCCTGGAGTCCTCCAAGAGGGAGAGGCAGAGCAAACACAGAGCGTGCGGACGAGCCCAGCCCTTACAGGGTGTGCTGTCACACACAGCCTGATGGATCTGCAGCCCAAAAATCCCTGGGAGCCTTTGTGCCCCCTTCTCCTGTCTGTGCCCCTTTGTCCAGCAGCACAATGCTGGCTTTCTGTCCCCCACAAGAGCCCAGTGTGAGCAGCAGCTCCCACCGCCGGCCCACGACCCTCCACAGGGACACTTTGTTTGCCTTCCCCGTGCTGACATTCCTGCACTTTGCAGGAGAACAAAAAAATCCGTTTTCCCATTAAGTTTCTGGTCAAGCAAACAGTTATTTAATACTTACTAGGTTAAAATACCTTTTTTACTTCTCCACAGCAGGGTTAAGTCACTCTCAAAAGCCAACAAACAACAACTGCATTTACATTTTCCAGCACTTTGCAAAGAGCTTCTTCCAGCACGGGTTATTCTGCTGGTCCACAAGGACAACTCAGAAGTGCTGTTTGCAGTGCTGCCATTCATTATTCCAGCAGGGAGATCTGACTCTGGATTAAGCCCTGTGGAAAGCAAGGCCTGGACAATCTTGGCTCCCTTCAGTGTCATGAAAGCTGATGGAGGGGCATGATGGGGTTTGTGTGCAGGGCCCCCACCTTCCAGCTCTCTGCCCAACTCCCAAGCATCCAAACACCTCTGAGGGCTCAGAATTCATGGCCATAACCAGGTGATGTGTGAGAGGATTGAGATTCTCCTCACCTGTCAGGGATTCAAGAGCAGCAAATGTCCAGAGAAGTTGGGGCTGCCCCATCCCTGGAAGTATCCAGGTTGCTCCAAGCCCTGTCCAACCTGGCCTTGGACACTTCCAGGGATCCAGGGGCAGCCACAGCTTCTCTGGGCAACCTGGGCCAGGGCCTCCCCACCCTCACAGGGAAGAAATTCTTCCAGATATCCAAGCTAAATTTCCCCTCTTCCAGCTTGACCCCATTCCCTGTGTCCTGCCACTGCAGTTCCTGATGACCATCCCTCTCTGTATTCCTTGGGGGCCCTTCAGATACCAGAAGGGGCTCTGAGGTCTCCATTTGCAACTGAAAAATCTCCCTTGACAAGAACCAAACCCTGCCCTCGTTTCCATCAGAGCAAAGCTCAAAGCTTGATGAACCATCTGATGTTCACCCCCATGGAAACGAGAGCAGAACTTGGTGCTAAACATCCTGTTTTCCCTCCTGACTTTATTAGATTTCATTAGGCAGGAGTTCAGCTTCCTTTTGAAGTTGTTTCATGGCAAAGAGATGGAGTGGCAGAGAACTAATTCAATAAGTCAAATCTGCCCTAAATATGCATGAAAGAACCGTGGCAGCCCTGAACTGCAGAGCTACAGCAGCCACACAAAGATTATGGAGCTCACAGCAATTTGAATTGGATGTGCAGGGCTGGAAAGCCAAGCCTGGGCACTTGACTTGTCAGCAACTCGAGGGGTTTATAAAATAAAAGTGAAAACTTGAAACCATTCCTGAAAACTTGCCCAGGAGGAAGGTGGAAAACAACAGCATAGAGCAAGAAATAAGCAGCATAATTGGGTAAAAAGGGCAGCTAAATGCAGAACTGGGGAATGAAAGAGCAGTTAAATGCAGAATTGAGGAAGAGAAGAGCATCCAAATGCAGAACTGAGGAAGAAAAGAGCATCTAAATGTAGAATTGAGAAAGAGAAGAGCATCCAAATGCAGAACTGAGGAAGGTAAATCCCCTCCCTGACCTCACTTAACCTGCAACAGTCGACAGTTCCACCGTCACTTGCTCAGACCCCAAAGGAGTGGAATAAATAACTAATTCCACACAAACTGAATGGGTTCCACGGGAATATTTGTCTCAGCAGGAGATGACAGAGCACCTGGAAGGACATGAAGGAGCAAAACCTTGACTGAGGATGTCAGGAAGGTAAGAAAGCACCTGGGGTTTCCACACCCTTCCCTGGGAGGTGTCCAATGAGCCTCACAGACCATCCCAACCAGTGGGATTTGGCTGCAGCCACTATTCATCCCCAGTCCCTCCCTGCTGAGCCCTATTCCTTCCCTAACAGAGCAGGAAAACCCAGGAGAATTTAACCCTGGACTAACAACGTTGTGATCTGCACATTTACAGAGTTTTTTCCCCACTGAAAGCCCTTCTCTCAAATTGTTCTTCACAACAATCCCACTGCATTTGCCTCCTGATCCCTTGGGTTCCCAAAGGTGCAAACAAAGACATGACACGACACAGATGAACCAAGGGAAGACCCAAACCATAATTCCCAGTTTTTGCCTGCACTGAAGGTCCCCAGACCTTTCCCCAATTCCCATTTTCTGAGTGCCCCTCCCACTGGTGTCACCCCAAGCCAGGCTCTCTCCGTGGTCACACACTTCCAACCCAACTTCCACTTCCCAGCAGTGCTGTTCCCATTCCCTCTGTCCTCAGGACAACCTTCCCACACCCAGGACAGGCCTGGACTTGCACAGAGCTGAGCTTTCCACAACAGGCCCACGCTGGAGGTCGCTCAAACCTTTTGCTCTGGATGATGTTGAGCACCTCCAAAATTCCCTCATTTATCTACAACATGCAAATCCTTCCGAGGTCAGAAATTATTCCCCAAACACAAAACACCAAAAAAATTACCAACTTGGCTCCTGGATCATCTGCATTGACCCACTTACAGCTTCAAGGAAACACACCCTGTGTCCAGTTGGGACTCATCAAATCCAACAATTCTGGAGCTGGGAAGTCTAATTTATTCCTTTTTAATTTGATATTAACCCCACATATATAACCAATATCCAAAGGAAACTAAGACAGCAGCATTCTAGGACTTGCTTCCCCCTCCCAGTGCTTCCAAACCTTCACACGATATTCCCAAATCCTTTTAATCACTGTGTGCAAACTGGAAAATACACCTATAAATGACACCTGAGCCAAGTGGAATTCCTGGATGAATTCCAGCAGTCACTGTGACTGACAGAGACTTGATTCTGTAATTTCTACACAGACAGAATTCCCACTGAGGGTAAATCCGGGAACTTTGTGTTTCAAGAGCGTGTGAAAATGGCTTTGGAAACGGGAGATCTAACCCAGCATTCCTGGTTGTTCCAGAGACAGGGCAAGCTTTCAAAATGTCCTAAAACGATGGGACATCATTTGACTGAGCAAAGGGAGCTCAAATTCCCAGCCTGGATTCGCCCTGTTGGAGTTACAGCTCTTCCCCACAGACACGAAAACGATGGAATGGTCACCACGGAGCTGCTTTGCACCTCCAAGGAAAGCCTGTAGTTCATGGAAAATCCTGACTCCAGGGAATTTAGCTGGATGAGAAAGCTCCAGGCAACAATAAGAGAGGGAATAACACCCAAATTAAATGAGTTGGGCCAAGGTACCTCCTTGAAGTTATCAAAGGCCGACAGGATGATCTCGTGTCCCCCTCGGACGAGGCAAACGGCTGCCAAGAGTTCCAAGACGAGGGCCTTTGTCCTGTGGAGAGAGGAGAAGGTGGCACTCAGTGACCAGCACCTGCTTCCAAACCTGTGGGAGAATGTGGGAGATGGAGCTTCATCCCCTGTGGTTTTAATTCCCTTGAATCAATAAACCTGCCGAGCGTCCCTGACCCAGGGAATTCGGCCTCTCCCGGGATCATGCACTTCTCCCCCTGTTTAATGCTGCTCAAAACATGCAGGAATTGAAACCACAACTCAGAAACTCAAGCAAAAAGGCAGTTGCAGAACTCTGGGAAAGGCAGATCACTGACAGCTCCTACCCCTGGAGAACTCCCCTGCACACACCCGGGGGAGGCAGATTCCCACACCCCAACTGGCCTCCTCTGATCTCACTTTTTAAGGGGAGTGCACATAATTCCAATCTGCATTTTTCCTGGTACAAATCTGAATTATTCTCTGTGTTATTCAGACCCACACACACAGAGTTCACTGCAGGAACACAGGATGCCTCAGCACGTCCTTCTCCCTAGAAATCAGAAATCAATCTGCCACAGAGAGAAAACAACAGATCACTGAGAGAAAACCATGCAGCAAACTGGGTGTTACCCTAAGGAAAATAATCCACAGTATTTCCTTACGGGATTCGTGGAAAGCAAAAGATTTCCTGGCCAGCTGAGCTCTGAGCAGAGTCAAACCATGCAGACACATAAAATTAGTCTCATGCCAAAGCAGAGTCTCAAACCAGATGTTACAGAACAAGAAATACCTTTTGGCTTTCAAAGGGTCAGGGTTATCTTTGGGAACCACATAAAATGTTCACTTCCCTAGGAAATTTTAAACGGGTCATGTTCAAGGCTGACTCATCCAGGGGGGTTCTGTCAGACAGGATCAAGGAGCTCTGGTATGGATCTTCAGGAATATCCCATCCCAGGGTGGGTTGTGAGGGGCTGTGGGGGCGGGGAGAGGGGATCTCTGGGATCAGAGGGATTCCCAGGTCTCTGGTGCAATGGGGACAAGAGAGGACAGTTCCAGCTGTGTCTGTGGGATCCATTTGGGAAGAACCAGGAGATGGAGTCCCCCCAGTCCCTCTCCACCTGCTGCCCACTCAGCTCCACAGTGGGAATGGGATCAGCTCCACATCCCATTCCCAGAGCTGCTGTTTCCCCTTGGCACATCTCACCCACCCTAAGCACTCAGACCTCTGGATTCTTCAATTATGGGGCTGAACCAAACACAGACTGGGGTTTTGAACAGCACTAACACCCAGTTTTGTCCTCAGACTATTTCAGTCACATTTTAAAGCAACGTTTTTAGAAACAGAAATCGAAATAACCCCCTTGTTTCAAAACTGAAAACTGGGGTTGTCCCTCGACCACCTGATTTCCAGGCACAAAAGTGATTAAAAAGTGATTTAAAAATAATAAACTTCCCATGTCCTTCCTATTTATCTGTGCATGTGTTTGCTGACTTAGGGCTGACTACAAGAAAGGAAGGATGTCCCTGTTTCCACCAGGACAAGGTTCGTGCTCTGTCAGCCCAGAGCCTAAGCCAAGGCCCTGTAAACACACACAGAGTTTTGTTTAGTCATCTCAGCCCCCAGTTTGACCTTTCCTTGGAAAAATGTCTGTGCCAGGTTTGGTTTTGTAAGACAAGGAAAGGTTGAGAACTCCAGGGTCTGCTGGAAGTGGCTGCTGGGATCACAAGGGTGGGAGAGGAGGGACAGGGATTCACAGCCAGCAGTTGCACTGTGGAATCACATTATGGCTGTGGCTGCACAGCAGCCTGACCCAGGACAGGAATGGAACCTTCTCCCAAGGAAATTCAAACCTAAGGATCCTTGGATAACATTTCTAAGGAAGATTCTCCCTTTCTTCAGGAAAATCCCATGTTAAGCTGCTCATTATCAGGGGGGTTTCTCTGCACTGCAACAGAGCTGAGGGGCTTCAGCAGCTCAATCACAGAATCCCAGAATGTTTTGGCTTGGAAGGACCTTAAAGCCCATCCAGTTCCACTCCTGCCATGGGCAGGGACACCTTCCACCAGCCCAGGTTGCTCCAAGCCCCGTCCAACCTGGCCTTGGACACTTCCAGGGATCCAGGGGCAGCCACAGCTTCTCTGGGCAACCTGGGCCAGGGTCTCCCCACCCTCACAGGGAAGGATTTCTCCCCAGTATCCAACCCAAATTCCCCCCCTGCCAGTTCAAAGCCATTATCAAAGCTGCAGAATCAGCAGCTCCTGAACCCACTGGAATCAGACAACAACTGCTCATCTACCTGCACCACTATACACACTTAATCTGATTTTTGCCACAGGTTTGTGCACAAACACACCCTTTTGAAGGTGAAAACCCCTTCCCAAATCCTCTTTACTTACCTGCTTGTCCAACTCTCCAAAAGCAAGAGCACCTACCTGGGGTTCTTGTTGTTCAGACTCAGGGCGATCTCGTTGACGGCGTGGGGGTGGGACATGACCATGTTGAATCCATACTGGGGACAGAAGGGAAAGAAAGTCCTGCTGCAGTTCTGACACCCCAAATTATTACTCAGAAACCCAACAAATCCCACCACCCTGACCAGACCCCTGTGGCAGTTTTTTAAGCCAAACAAAACCTCGTGGAGTTTACTGGTTAAACCGAAATATTTCATTCTCCCACCGTTCCTAAAAAACTTCCAACTCTGGATATTCCATGATCCTACAATTCCCTGCCACTGGCAGTGTTGAAAATACTCCTTTTGGCCATGTCAGCCAACAAAAGGGGTCTAAGAGCTGCTCCTACATTATTTCCAGCCCCTCTGCTTGTCCTTTTCTCCCTCCAGCCCCTTTTTAATTGTGACAGTCAAGAGCATGATTTACTCCCTAAAGAGGACTTTGAAGTTCAGTTGTTGTCACTCTCCAAAAACGAAAACAGAATTCCTTTGGAAAATACTCCACTGGTTATTAGGATTGTGGCTGGTCTCCTTCCCAATCCCTGTAAATCCCAGGGAGCTGGTACCCCCCCCCCAGGGCAGAGGGGGGTTACAAACACCTCCTACACCCCTCAGGAACTCCTAAGAAAGGTGTTCCCCACAGGCTTCCCTTGTTTTAGCAAAAAATCCCAAATCCTTGGAGCTCCCTGGACAAACTACACAATCCCTGTATCCCACTGGAGAGAAAAAAACCCTCAGGAAAATCAGGTTGGCTTTGGTTTAGTTGGTTCACTCCCAGTTGTCCCACTGCCTTGCCATAAACACTTACTGAGGAAAAACAAGGATTCTTCTAGAAAAAAAACCCCTGTTTTTAAGCATTAAGACTAAATGCTGAGACTAATTAGAACCTGATTGGCTGCAGGTTTAATTAGTTAATGCCCAATGAGCACATCATGCACAGGCTCACCTGTGCCTTCCCACCTGCAACAGGTAAATAAGGTAAAGAACTGTGTCCTGCTGCTTCCCATTTTAATAATGAGAATGGAAATATTTGCATGGGTTTCACCTTCCAAATTCACGCCTAACTTTTCCTCCCCCCTCCCAACACTGAAAAAGTTCTGTGGTGTCAAAAGGCAATTAATTACCTGGTAGTTCATTATGGCCCTCAAGCACATGATGCAGACGTGAACATCGTCCTTTTTACTCACTAATCTGGAGTTTTTTAGTGTTCTTCGGCTTGGCAAGGTGTTGTACCTGCAGAGAGAAGCAGCTCTCATCAACCACAGGGCTGGTTTTAGGGGGTGAGAAGGAAGGAAGAGAAATATCCCTCCGCTGGGTGAGAAGGAAGGTGTTTCTCAGGTGAACACAGGGCAATATTCATGAAAATAAAGCAGGAAAAGGGGCTGGGATGTTCACACAAAAAATGCAGATGTTTGGCTCCACAGACCAGGAGCTGCAGTGCCAGTGCAGGGGACAGTAAATATTCATAATAAAGACATAAACTGAATTACCACACTGAATTATTGTGATTCACTACTCTCTGACACAAACACCTCCAAATTCCCTCCCTTCAAATGTCCAGACCAAGAGGAACGAGGGGGGTCGTGGAGCTCTGCCCATGGAGAGCCCACAACCCTCAGCCTTCAGCAACTCCTCCCCTTGGCTTTCATTTTCCAGCAGTGCCAAGATGAAAGAAATCCCAAAATTCAAAGCAGGATTCAATCAAAAGACTTCTTCCCCCCCCTCCCATAAATATGAATGAATAAATCAGCTCAGGGCACTGCAGGAGGATTTCAGGGCTCTGGCAAAGATTGACCCAGTTTTGGCTGAGAACAGAGGGTGGTTTCAGCTGAATTTTGGGGAGTGGATCCTGTGGATGGGACCAGGGATGGGACTGTGCCTTGGAGAACCAGGACAGGATGAGGTTGATGGTTCCAAGCTCCTTGGACTGGGGCTCTGCACCTGGAAACTCTGGCAGCTCCTGCTGGGAATGGGGCTGCCAAGGAGCTGCAGCCAGGACTGTCCCACCATCCTGCCTCCTTCCCCATGGGTCAGCTCCCTGCCCACACAGACCCTGCACCCAGGGACTCCTTCACTTCCCAAATGTCCCTTCCTGAGATAAAAGAGGAGCAGAGCAGCCTTCAACTGGGAGTCTGAACTGGGAAGTGGGGAATTGCTGCCAGTGCTGGCTGGAGAATGTGGAACCACACCACACCAGCCCATTTCAGACATTCATTTCTCCAAGTGAGAAAACGCGGCAATAAAAGGATTTTAAAGTCATTTCTAGTCAGAGATTGTCCCTACAACGACTTATCTCAGCTTTAACCACTAAAGGCTGCAGACACTGTTTTCCTTTACATTTTAAATCAGCAGATTAATGAGATCTTAATCATGGAACTGATAGGAGAATAAACTTCCTCAGTGCACCAGCTCCTAAATTTCAGAATGCCTTTAGCCATCTGACAGTTAAGAAATGGGGGGAGTCTCCTTAAACTAATAAAAGATGATGATAAAGCCAGAATTTGGCATTTCCAGATTGGTCTCTTCCAACCCAAACTGTGATCCTCCAATCAAAACCTGGCACTGCAGAGCAATGTGGGCACCAGAGGGAAGGTCTGAGGTGAAGCCAACACTCCCTTCCTCCAGAGAGGTGGAAAAGCCCCACAGAAACCCAGCAGGGCTGCACAGATCCCATATGGCCCCACCTGCCCCCAGCCAGGAAAGCTGCTGGTTTGGAGCCCGGAGATGTTCCCTGGGGGGATCCTCATGAGCAGCCGAACGGGCAAAGCCAGGGGCAGAGGTTGTGTTCTCCTCCCAAATCCTAGATGACCCTCCCCCTGGGGACTGTCCCAAGGCACAGCTCCATCCCTGAGCTCCGGCCTCCGTCTGCCTTTCCCACAAATCCCGAGGCAGTGCCACTCAGACCCACAGGGCAGGTTGGAGGGTCACCTGCTCCAGCAGGGCCATCCCAGAGCACAGAGCACAGGGGTGTGGCCACACTGTTCTGGGATATCTCCACTGAGGGAGACTCCACACCCTCTGTGGGCAACCTGTCACCTCACCGTTCTTCCTCGTGTTCAGGTGGAACTTCCTGGCATCAGTCTGTGCCCGTTCCCTCTTCTCCTACTGCCTGGCATCACCAAGCAGAGCCTGGCTCCAGCCCCTTGGCACATTCCCACTCCCACCCGTGTCAGTGTCCCACTGGGGTGAGACCCAGGCATGGAATCTGCCCTGAAGAGCAGATCCAATCCCTACATTTCCATCCCTTCCCTTCCCCAGATGCAAATCCCCTCACATGGACCCGAGTGCCAAAAATTCACGAGGAGTTTTTGCACAGCAACTCCTGAACAACAACAACAGAGCCACGGCTGGAGATGCTCCCCCTGCATCAGCAGTGATCCCAACAATTCCCAGTGTTTGTGCTCCCTCCCCAGAGCAGGGCAGGCTGGTGGGAGCTCTGACATCTCCCTCCAGCCAAGGGAAGGGTGGCTGAGCTTCTCCTGCTTTTCCTTCATTCCTGGTTCCTGAACACTTGGCTGAGCCCAGCAGCTTGGATGACTCGTTGGGTTTGATTTCCTGTCTGCTGCAGGTCAAGGATTATGTCACCACGAGTATATTTATCCTGCTAATTCAACTCAGATGGTTCCTCTTTTTATTTCCTCGGCCCCTCCTTTAGAGGGGAACCATAAACCCCTTCTCCCAAAAAAAAAAGCAGGGAAGCAGAGAAGCTGAGTGTGTGGAAGCTCCTGCAGTGGATAATGGGTTCCTCCTGCCACTCTGGACCCTCTCTCATGTGGGGAAGGAGCTACTCCATAGTTTTGGGACTTTTTGCTGCTGGAGGATGGGGGGAAGAATGCAAGATCCAGGATTTCCACAGCTGGGATTCTGCAGCCATGTGGGAAAACAGACAACCATTAAACCCAAGGCTAATCCTGTGCTGAAATACAGAGGTTTAGGGTTCTTTTCTCACCCACATCTAACAGAAGAACTTTCTGTTCAAGAATAACTCATTTATTATTTTTATTTCCTTAGGGACATGGAGATGCACCCAGGGCTGGAGCCCCTCTGCTCTGGAGCCAGGCTGGGAGACCTGGGGGGGTTCCCCTGGAGAAGAGAAGGCTCCAGGGAGACCTGAGAGCCCCTTCCAGGGCCTAAAGGGGCTCCAGGAGAGCTGGAGAGGGACTGGGGACAAGGGATGGAGGGACAGGACACAGGGAATGGCTTCCCACTGCCAGAGGGCAGGGAGAGATGGGATAGTGGGAAGGAATTGCTGGCTGGGAGGGTGGGGAGGCCCTGGCACAGGTTGGGCAGAGAAGCTGTGGCTGCCCCTGGATCCCTGGAAGTGTCCAAGGCCAGGTTGGACGGGGCTTGGAGCAACCTGGGCTGGTGGAAGGTGTCCCTGCCCATGGCAGGGGATGGAATGAGATGGATTTAAGGTCCCTTCCCACCCAACCCATTCTGGGATTCCATGACATGTGCCCAATCCAATGCAGATTTACAATGCACCACATTAATTCCAATTACAGCTGCTCTCTCCTCTCATTTTAACCTCATTTTCTGCTAAAAAAGCCCCTCATCTGTCCCCTGGCTCCCTGGAGAGCAGAGGGCAGCCCAGGATGGATCTCCCCACCCCCCTGGCAGCTGGCCCAGCTCTCCATGGGCTGGGACTGCTGGTTTTCCTCGGGGTTGGGTGGTTTTTGGGTGACATTCCTGCAATTGGACTGGTGGTGGTTTGGAAACTGGGGGAGTGTTGTATTATCAACGTCCTCCTGACAGCAGAAAGTGGCTTTAGAGGAGGAAGGTTTTGGCACATCCCACAAATTTGGGGTTTTTCTGATCCCTCAGAGCTGATCACAAACATGCTCTGTTAAATGAGGAAATATCTGACCAAAAGATGTTTCCCAGGTCCCTGAGCAGTGAAAGTGTTAATGGCAAAGCCCAAATTAAAGGACTGCAGCACACGAAGCCGTGTCAAATTAAAGCCCAATTAGTGAAGACACTCAAAGCCCATCTATGGATTGAGCTCCCTGTGCCTGGATCCTTTTCTCCTCGTGGAGATTTTGAAGAATTGAAGTTTCTCACTTCAATCCACATTAAAAACTCCAGTATTTGACTGGGAAAAAAGGGAATTTCTAATGGGCTGGGCCCCTGCAAAGGCTGCATTAATATTTATCTGACAGGAGACACTGACTCCCAGCAATGCTCCCTCTCCCAAAAAAGCAGCAATAAAATCCCCAAAGCTTCAGCCCCTTTTTTATCCTCCTGCCCTCATTTTGGAGTCGGTTTCCCAAATCCCTGTGCCTCCTCTTCAGGAAAAAGCCCTCAGTTGCCAAGGAAACCCAGAGAGCAGGGAATTGGCAGGGTTTAGCACTGTTAAAAAAAGAGCTCTGGGAAGGCAGTTGGAGTCGGGGTTGGAAAGGGATGGGCTGAGCCACCAAAGGGACACACAGAGCTCCGGGTCCACCCCAGGCCAGCTCCGGAATTTGGAATTATCCTGGTAAGGTTTGACAGCCTTCTCCTTTCTCATCCAAGAGGGAGGAGCACATCTTTCAGTCCAGCTGGGCTGCCCCTGCATCCCTGGAAGTGTCCAAGGCCAGGCTGGACGGGGCTTGGAGCAACCTGGGCTAGTGGGAGGTGTCCCTGTCCATGGCAGGGGTGGAATGAGATGAGCTTTAGGGTCCCTTCCAACCCAAACCATCCTGGGATTCTGGGATTCCTCTCTCCCATTTCAATGGTTTCCATGGCAAAGACAGAAGAGCAGCTTCCACACAGCAGAACCTACAGACACATCTGGGTGTCCACATCCCAGAACCCTCATTTACCACTCAGTGGCAGGGCAGGAACCTCCTGGTTTTGCCCAGAAACATCATCTTGCACACCCTCCTCACTCGATGAGCACCTACCTTGCTCTCAGGAAAAGATTCTATTTCAATTATTTAGCAATTCCACAAAAAATACAAAAACCTTCTTAAAACCTCCCCACCTACCTTCAGCTTTTACTTTTTTAAACACACATCGTCCCCAGGTATTGAAAAATACACATTTTCAAAAACATGCATTTTAGAACACAGAGTTAAAAAAAAACCCCAAACAACAACAAAGACCAATCCAAATGTGCCAATTCCACACAGTTTCTGCCTAAACTGCCCCAGTGCTGAGATGGCTCTGGAGGGACTTGGCTGGAGAACAGGGTGTTAAATCCCATTTCTGTGCCGGTCTGGGGTGTGAATAAAGTCTCCATTTATAACAAAAAGATGAAGTAAGATGGACAAGGACCAAAGGCTCTGTGTTTCAGGTATAAAACTAACACCACTACTTGCAGCATGACAAAGGGAACTCGGCTCTCGCTTCCAAGTCAGCCCCGTCTCACGTCCTCCGCGAAAATCCCGCCCTACGGAAGCCACTACTCTGGGAATTCTATAATGTGATACCCACATGCTTGGGACGCCGGGCACCCTCCTGGGGGGCAGCACCAATCCGTGTGGATATCACATTATCCGGCATGGGGAGCAGTGCTGGCCCCTGGCTCCATGCCCTGCACAGCCCCGGCTCCGGAGGACCTTCCACTCGGGACTTACGGGATTTTCCGGCCGGGAGCCTCATCGGCAGAGCCCCAAGTGAAGCTGCTCCAGAGGCAGGTGGCTGACCAGCAGCTCTGGCAGCGTTTGAACTCAAGTTGCTCGGGCAGAGAAACCAATCTGATGGTGTGTGAGGGGAGGGAAGGATGAGAGAGAAGCGTTCGAGAGGGACAAGGGAATGAAGGGACATCGAGACGGGGAATCAAACAGGTGAGGAATAAAGGGAGACGTGAGAAAGGAAAAAGGATGGAAGGAAACGAAGAGAAACAATGTAAGAGACATGTAATGTATTCCCGACTCAGGCATTTCTAATCCCAAGCTCTCCTCCCAAAAACAGATGGAACCAGCACAGGGCTCTGCCATTCCTGTCAGAGCAATTACAGAGCAGAGAAAACAAAAAACACTCACAAAAATAATAAATCAACGGCTCAAGTGATTTTGCTGCACTCCAGAGCCTGGATTTCTTTACCAGGGCTGTGCCTGTCTCCTCCTCTCCACTGCCTGAGGGCTGGGAACTAAATTTTCCAGGTACTGCTCCGGAGCCACTCGGGCACTGAGCATCAACCCAAGGGTCAAGGTCACCTGCCTGGCAAAGCAAAACAACCTCTGCTGGAAGGAAAAAGCTGGAAGCCAGTTCTCACTGGCTCCATCTTTTTTTGGACTCTTCTACACTCACAGGGCTCTGTAGCAACCAAAAAAAAAATCCCAAGTCAGCCAGCACTCCAGGTAACACTGCTGGAGTCTGTGCTCCCTGTGGTTTAAATAGTGGAGCATCCAAGGAATGGAACAGCCTTGTCTGTCAACCACTCCTGGGAAGTGATCCTGCCTTTTCCACACATTAAACAATAAGAAAAAGGCAGGATTGGGAAAGAGAGACTCCGTAGCAAAGCGTGGGGTGGTGAGAGAGGGACACAGGTTTGAAGGATGGAAGTGGCCTTTCAAAAAAACAACGGCTCCTGTTGGTGGCAGCGTGGAAGGAACGTGCTGCTGGAAGAGACGGGACACAGATGAAAGCCCCAGACTGGCTGGGCCCATGGAAACCTTGAGACATGTTTTGGAGAAGAGGGAATGGCTTCCCCTGTGCTTTGTAACGGGTGGAAATGCATCCTCAGGCCATCCTGCCCTTGGGAATGGGCAGAGTTATCCCTGTCCCTTCCCCAAGTGTGTAACGCTGTCCTGTGTCACCGGCTGGGCACTTCCCACCTCACACCACCAGCACAGCCACACGTTCCCTAGAAATGTCATGGCTCTGCTGGGAAAAGCAGGAAGGTGGAGGATACCCCAGTGGGAGAAGGCTCCCCATCCCACGGCCTCGTACCGGAGCGTGGAGTGTCGGCCCGAGCGGGAGACGCTGTTCCCAACCGGGGAGGGCAGGTTGGTGCCCCTGTGCAGGTCCTCGATGGAGCGGCTCCAGGGCTTGGACTTGTCCATGGAGTTCTCCACGCTGTTCTCCAGGCTCTCAAAGTCAAACCTGAAAGGGAAGAGGAATTCCAGCGCCAGGTCAGACACAAGAGATGCCCCGAGTTTTCCTTCCTGTGGGTTTGAGGGGAATCACAAAGTCATCGGACAAAGCCAAGTCTGACAAAATCAAATGAAAAGCCCTCCAAGACCATCGAGTCCAACCATTCCACCAGCTGTTCCAAGGGCCCTTCCCACCCAAACCAGCCTGGGACTGTGTGATCCCTGAGGTTGGAAAAGCCCTCCCAGCCCATGGATCCCCCCTGTGCCCGATGCCCACCTTGCCCCCCAGCCCAGAGCACGGCCAGGCCTTCCTGGGACACCTCCAGGGCTGGGCACTCCACCACCCCAAACATGTATGAGGTAAAGGGAATGCTAATGGTTAACAATATTCCTTATGTGATCCAGTGAAATAGGGATGGAAAAGGAGAGTTAAAGACAATGTGGGACTTGAGGGATAAGGCAAAGTCCAGGGAAATGGGATGAGCTCCAGAGGAGGAAAGGAAATCCCAGAATCCCAGAATCTTTCAGGCTGGAAAAGGCCTCCAAGATCATCAAGTCCAACCATCCCCCAGCGCTGTCAAGGCCACCATTAACCATGTCCCCAAGTGCCACATCCACGTGGATTTTCCACCCTTCCAGGATCAAACAGCTCCATATTATTCCACCTCAACACAACACAAATCCAGCACTGGCTGCTCTGCCCAGGGAACAGCTCTGCCTTAAAGGAAAGAGTGGGAATGCTGGGACCCCTCTCCACTTCATCTCAACAAATCAGTTGTCCAAGCACCGCTTTGGTTTCCTCCAACACCGTGTTGGCCTCACAAATCTCCCAGCACGTGCAATAAATCACCATCATCACCCCTGCCCCTTGTTCTGCTATTCCAAGCAGGAATTCTTGTTCCCTTTACAGCTTTGGAGGTTGTTACTCACGTTTACCATGTCAGGGGGGAAAAACCCAGCGAGTCACTTGCGGACATTTGTATAAATTTAGGAAGAGAGTCTTACTCTAAACACTTCTTTTTGCTCTGCACAGTTTTTTCCAGTTAGTCACATTTTAAAACATATAATTTCCCCTCATTCATTTTTCTGCAAGGCCACCAAAAATCCCTTTTCTGTGCAATGATATACCATAAATGTGAGGGTAGCTTTGCTAAAAATAGATTATCAGTATCTTTAACCTAAGGCTTCTTTTTAGACACTTTTATATCAAAAAAATCTGCTACAATACCCTGAATTAATGTGAATATAATGCCCCATTCCTGGAAGTGTTCAAGGCCTGGTCTAGTGGAAAGTGTCCTTGCCCATGGCAGGGATAGGCTTTAAGGTCCCTCCCAACCCAAACCAGTCTGGGATGATTCCATGACAATAAATAAATTAATAAAATAAACAAATACTTGGATTCTCTGCTGAAAATCTACTTCCAATTCTGTGATATAACAACTCATGAAAGCTCATTTTCCCCCTCTGCTTTCAGAACATGTGTCATGATTTATCACCCACACAACTAAATAAACGTGACCCCAACTACCCAGATGCCAGAAGGGAAAAAACTTGGTTTCCAGCCTTCCCAACTTGCAAAATGCCCCCCCTGGAATTCCTCCTGTTTTCCTGGAGCACATCTGCTGCCCAGGACACCCCCAGCTCTGCCTGTGAGCAGTGCCTGGGGTGTGGATGTGCCCTTTGAACACAGCAGGAACACAATTCCTTAGGGTTGGGCACCGATTCCAAACCTCTTTCCAAGGGAGCCTCCAGCCTTCCACACATTTGTTTTTTGCACCCCTGAGATGATCAGAGGCCAAAGCTAAAAAAATGTGTCAGTGCAGCCCTGGAGATAAAAAATCTCAAGGTTTAAATTTAGGCTTGGGGTGAAATAATTCCAGACTCAAATTACCATTTTCTCTGCTCTTTAGACCCAGAATCCTGGAATTATTAAAGCTGGAAAAGGCCTCCAAGATCATCAAGTCCAACCTTTGAGCAAACACCACCTTGGCAACCAAACCATGTCCCCTTGGCAACCAAACCACATCCCCAAGTGCCACATCCACTCGTTTTTGAAGTGGTGACACCCCCACTGTCCTGGGCAGCCCCTTCCAATGCCTGACCACTCTCCCAGTGATAAAATATTCCCTAATATCCACCAGGATCATGTATTTTCCGGCAGGAAAGCCCCAGGAATGTGTTACTCACGTGACTGCATATTGTGCAAAGGACAGGTACTCCACCAGAACATCCAGGCCCTTGTTCTCCTCATTCAGGAACTCCCTGACCCACCTGTTAAAAAAACAGCAGAGCCTTTCAGGGCCTTTGGGAAGCCACTGGAATTCCCAGATAAACTGGACAAGCTGCACCACTGAGCAAAACCTTAATTCTCACTCAGGAAAAAAAAAAAAAAGGCTTTTTAAAATACCCTTTATTATTCAGGAGACTTTAAAAAGCAGCCCTTTAAATGGCTTTATAAATGTACTAAACCCAGGGTTTTTTTTTTGGGATGGTCACCTCCAAACACACAAAGTCACAGGGACCTGGTTTAGTTTTTATCACATCTTGATCTCTGAAGGTCTGTAAAAGCCTGGAGGCAGCACAGCAGGGAAAGAATAATCTGATGGATATCCTGGATGTGCATCCAGCAGTAATTTTGCTTCTCTTTTTAAAACCTATTAACCTGTTCCAGTGAATTTTGGCCCCTGAGTTTCACAAAAGAATTCAGAAAAGTCAATTATCTTCCTAAGATTTTGAAGATGCCAAGTGAAAGTTTGGAATTCCATCCATTTAGGGGCAAAGCCAGGGGGCCAAAGAGGCTCAGCCCAGCCCAGCTCAGCTCTGAACCCCAAGCAGGGCAGCAAATCCCCCTGGGAGTGGGGAGGTACCACTGGAATTACTGGGGATCCAGGGAGGGAAAGGGAGCCCCAATCTCCCAGGGTGGGAATTCATCACCTCTGAGTTATTCTGGTCTTCAGGCTTTGAATCCTTCTCTGTTTACCTGCTAAAAGAACCAGCCTGGTGTTCGATAAAGTGGATTTTGAAGCTCATCCTTCAGCTCAGTGAAGCAAATAAATGAACATTGGTCCTGGAGCCTCTTTGCCTGAGCTGGGGCAGCACCACAGCTCCTCCTGCACATCCCAAATCCACGGGGCATCATCCCAAATCCACAGGGTAACACGCTCAGGTGCCTCAGTGCTCTGCTGGGGAATCCTCAGTGTGGGAAAATGAGGTGGGAATGTCGATGGGAATGGGATGTCTGACAAAAACCCAAACCTCTGGTGATTCTTTGGCTATTTGAGAGGAATTTTCTGCTTTGTGGAAGAGAAACCCTGGTAATTTTTCTCCCAGCCAGGCTTCATGAACTGCACCATGTTACAGGTACTAAACAGTAGGGGGAAGTTATAAATAAATAAATAAATAAATAAATAAATATATATTTAGCTCTATTATTATTCTAGACACAACCACGTGCTGAGCACGAGCAGAAGTTGCTTCAGTGTCTCCTCAGCCTTCACAGAGACATGGATGAACCTTTCAGGAAAGGATTAAAGCTGAATTATTCTCCTGAGGATGCCCAGCTCTGCTCAGCTGAGCCCCACGGGCTTTAACGATCAGTCAAGTGCCATCACTGCTCGACAGGCAAAGAGATGTTCTCTCAAAGACATCCATCAGCAGACGTGAAAAAATAAATCTGAGAGCAGAGGCACCAAAATTTCTTACCCAATGTGGTTTGTCCTTAAAGAAATTTCCAGTTCTCGCAGCACTTGAGTCGACTCTTGGACTCGCCTTCTGAACTTCTGGAACGGAGTGAGCAGCAAAAACAACAATTAGAGTCATGGGGTGCTATTAAAGAATATCAACATCTCAGATTGAACAAAGAAAACAGTTCCCAGGTAAATTGAGAATTCTTCCAAATCCCCAGGAAGGCAACAACAACACTCCAGCAGTCAACAAAAACACGCGTGGAGAAACCACTTCTGTTCCCGGGAACATTCTGGAGTTTCCAGGATTAAGAAAATTAAAAGCCTGTAGATAAATAAACATTTCTTTATGAAACAAGCTTTGGTTCAGCATCAAACTCCCTGTTGAGGGCTAGAGCAGATCCTCTCCTTCCTCTGCAAAAGCAGGTGGAGAGAGAGACAACGAGGTCGCCTCCTCTTCCATCTGGAGAAGGATTGTCTTCTTCTCCCCTGCCCGTGGAAAATGCTAAAACACCTGGATAAATTCTGGCACACCCTCATTTTTGAACAAGGGAAATGAGAGCCAAAGTGGATGAAGAATGAGAAGGGATATTGGGAAGGAATTGTTGGCTGGGAGGGTGGGGAGGCCCTGGCCCAGGTTGCCCAGAGAAGCTGTGGCTGCCCCTGGATCCCTGGAAGTGTCCAAGGCCAGGTTGGAGCAACCTGGGCTAGTGGAAAGTGTCCCTGCTCAGGGCTCAGACACAGCTTCTCTGCACCTCTTGGATTAGAGCTCAGAGCACACAAACCCAGCACCTTCTCCCCTCCAGAGCTCTCACATTGTAACTCCAGCAATACAAAAACTACCCTCCCCAGAAATCAAGGTCAAATATTGATGTTTAAAGAGGCAGATGGTCCATGGGCTGGGAGGGCACGGCAGGAACTGTCACCCCCAGCAAGGCCAGGCTGCTCTGCCACCAGAGCAGGGAGCAATCAGAGAATCCTGGAATATCCTGAGCTGGAAGGGACCCACAGGGATCATCCAGTCCAACTCCTGGCCCTGTACAGACACCCCAACAATCCCACCCTGTCCCTCAGAGCATTGTCCAAACCCTCCTGGAGCTCTGGCAGCCTTGGGGCCGTGCCCACTGCCCTGGGGAGCCTGGGCAGTGCCAACCACCCTCTGGGGGAAGAACCTTTTCCTGAGATCCAACCTGACCCTCCCTGGCACAGCTCCAGCCACTCCCTGGGTCCTGTCCCTGCTCACAGAGCAGAGATTGGAGCTGCCCCTCCTGAGGAAGCTGCAGACCCCTGAGGTCTCCCCTCAGTCTCTTCCAGCTGAACAAACCAATTGCCCTCAGCCCCTTAATGACCCAATTTGGTGCTTAACGAGCTCCAAGAGCCACCAAACTGCAGCTGCTTTAAAAACATAGTGACATTTCAACACCTTTTTATTCCCTGCTCCAAAACTCAGCTCAGCCAAAAAGCAATTGTTTTCCCGGGAAGAGCCATTCCAACCCCAATTAGGAGCTGGAACAACACACTTCCAGCAGCCTGGAGCCACCTCCTCTTGGCCACGCCGGGGATCGGCAGCAAAACCACTGACACCACCTCAATCCCAGCAATAATCCCAGTAAGAGGAGCTCTCCCATCTCCATGTGTAAATCTTTCCATCCCACAGCCCGGGCTGAGGAAAGGCTGCGGGTGACATGGAACAACACCACGAAGAGGAACTCAGTGGGGTTATTTTTAGGCCCCTTTGGGTTTGTCATTGGTCATGGGACCCTCAGAGAGGCATCAGGATAAGAAAGGCCTCAATGTGGGCCTCAAGGGAGCGAAGCCAAACACTCCATGAACCTCAAAACCCCTCAGGAGGAAAAACACAAAGACCTTGTTCACCGGGTGCTCAAAACAACTCTGATCGGCCCCCGGCAAATCCAAAGGTTTCCAACTAAATGGGATCCTACTAAATGGGCTCCTCCTCATGGTCAGAGGCTCCAACAAGAGGAGCACTGTCCCAGGGCACTAGGAAACACGAGCTGGAGCACAGGGCACTCCATGTCCCCTGTTGCCACCCCAGGGACGGAGCAGCACCTCCACGGAAGCCCCGTGTCAGGATCCGTGTTTTCCTGCAGGGCTTATTTCTGGCAGCACAAAGCTGGGATTGTTGAGGACGAGGCAGAGCCAGCCCAAGGCAGGATTGGATTTGCTCTGCTGCCTCTTTTTGTTGTTTTCCAGAGGCTCTTCCAGCTGTCCCACAGGATGCGAGCTGATGGCCAACGGGGTTAAATCCCAAAGGTTCAGCCACGGACTTCTAAATGGGATGAAAGTTTACTGACAGTCTAAAATCCTGGAGGATATTCCTAAGTTTGCCCTGTGAGGGACTGGCACAGGTTGCCCAGAGAAGCTGTGGATGTCCCTGGATCCCTGGGAGTGTCCATGGCCAGGTTGGAGCAACCTGGTCCAGTGCTCACAGCAGGGGGTGGAATGGGATGACCTCTAAGGTCCCTTCCAACCCAAACCATTGTAGAATCCTGTGATTCCATGATTTTATAACAAACCCACCAGAGCTGGGCTTAGTAATCTCAGAACCAGCCCCAAACACATCCCAGCACAGAATCCACGCTCAGGGACACACAAAGGTCGAGTGAAGTGTCTGAGTCTCCCACAAGTGATTTCCAAACTATATGGGATAAAATAACAGGCAAAAGGATGGAGGAGGCTGTGCCACGTAAACACAGCCCAGAGGGGGTGAACTGTGCCAGCTGCACTGAACCTCTGCCCTGCAAATCCCCAGGGAAAAGGACTCCAAACTCAACATCCCCCTCACAGGGGTGAGTAAAGTGCCCTCAGACAGTGGTTTTAATCCCTGCCCACACAAGAGCTAGGCCTGGAGCCCAGCTCAGTGATAAATTGTCCCATTTTTATTGGAGCTGAGGTTGTTCAAACAAGTTGTGCTGTGTGTCAGATGGTCCTTTGCTTTCCAGCATCTGCTGCCCTCCCCGAGCTGTGAAAACTGCAGCAAATTCCCAGTTCCTTTCCGAAGGGAGACTTTGCAGGGGATTTACACAAAGGCAGGAAGGAACCTGGACCCCCAGGACCATCCTGGATGAGGGATGAGGGGCAGCAAGAGGAAACAGGATCCTCCTCACCTTCCTGGTGACTGCTGGGTCCAGATAGCCCTTTAATTTCTGGATGTATGTGTGTGGAGGATTCTTCACTTGGAATCTTTCCTGCAAAGGAGACAAGAATAAACATCAGCCACTTCAGAACATCTTTTGTATTTACTTATTCTATATATAAACCACGTGCACACACATATATTTGAAGACTATATAATTAGGATATAGTTTGATATGTACATGCCTTATATTCCTAAGGATGTAATTTATGCACACATGATATGCATGCAAATAAAATATATTTATATGTATCTTGATAGTCTGAAATTGGATCTTTATATCAGATGCATAAAAATACATGTTACATATTCAGGGACAATTCTGAATTTTAATTACACAAACAAACACACACATCTGGAGTTATGGGGTTTCTGCTCTGCAGGAGAGGAAGGAGAAGGGATAGAAAAGTGGATGCAGGTCCATGTTTGATTGAAACCATCGCCACAAAAGCCAAGACACCTCTTTTATCACTTGGGAAAAGCCCAAAACTACATTGCATGGGCATGGGAAAAAAGTCTTCCTTGTTGGGATCACAGGAAGATGAACCAAAGAGCAGCGTTATGAGCAAGAAGAACAGTTTATCCCACCAAAGCTGCTGGGAAACACGAGCTGTTCCATGAGGAGTGAGCTCTGTCCAAACCTGTGAAGAGCATTACCAAAAGTCCTGATACTGTTTGTATCTTGGAAGAGTTTTAAAACTATTCTGCCCCCTTCCCTTGAGGAAAGACCTCATACCAATTTCCTCCTGAAATGTCCCATTTTATAACTGTTATCTGAACCCTCCCTTTATTAGGTCAGGATGAAGTCTTGACTACATTATCCCCAAGTTATTCCAGAATGAACAGGACTCTTCTGCCCAGTCACCAGAACTGTCTGAACACCACAAGTTCTTCCTGTTTTTATCTTGCTGTAAAAAAAGTAATTCACGGTGGTCAGCAGGAAAAAATGAACACAGGAGCCTGCCCTGGTCCCTCAGCCCTGCTGAGAGCTCTGAGGACACGGAGCAGACTCGTCTTTCCTCTTTTCCAACCGAATTCTTTTTCCAGGCACATTCACACCTACGGGCCAAACACGGCTCTGGAATTGGCATTTCCTTTTTTTTATCTAAAAAACAGTCCAGAAAATGCAAAGTTCTTCACTGACAGCTCCTCTCTGGCCACAGTGACACCGACAGGGCCTGTCCTGCTCCATCCTCCCCCGGCACGGTGTCCATGGCCACGATTTCCTCTTGGCTCCACAGCACGGATTCCTGGAGCCAGTCTCCTCTCAGATGGTTCCCATGGCTCAGACAGACCCTTTCCTGGAATCACAGAATCCCAGGATGGTTTGGGTGGGAAGGGACCTTAAAACCCATCCCATTCCACCCTCTGCCACGGGCAGGGACACCTTCCACCAGCCCAGGTTGCTCCAAACCCCGTCCAGCCTGGCCTTGGACACTTCCAGGGATCCAGGGGCAGCCACAGCTTCTCTGCCCAACCTGTCCCAGGGCCTCCCCATCCTCCCAGCCAGGAATTCCTTCCCAATCTCCAACCTAAATTCCCCCCTGTCAGTTTGGCAGGACGCTGCTGGGCCGTTCTGAGTCAGCCTTACAGCCCCCCCCGGACAGCGAGGTTTTACACTGGGCATAAATATAAGTTATTTAGCAGCATTTTCCACCCATTAACCCCTTTTAAAGCTCCTTCCCACTGGCAAACAGACAAAAAAGCACTTTGTAAATGAGAGTCTGGGCCATGGTTGGCCAGTAAAGAGCTGTGGAGGTACCTGGACCTCAGAGACCACCACCATTCCTCATTTCCCCCCTCAACAGTTCCATACGAGCTCCAGAGACGCTGCAGCACTTGAATAAGCCCATCATTTCCTACAGAACCCACCAAGGTCAAAGTGCTCTCACTGTGCCACTTGGCATTCGTGCCCAAATACTGTTCTTTGCATCTCCAAGTGGTGGAGCACCGAGCCAAAGGTCACAGAATGATCCCAGAAGGGTTTGGGTTGGAAGAGACCCGAAGGATCATCCACTTCCAACCCCCTGCTCCTCCTGACAGCAGCATCCCAGCCCACCAAGGCTCCACCTCCCCTCTCCCATTCACCCCTCCCTTTTTGGGGGGTTCTCTCCTGCTGGGTTTAGTCTAATCCTCCAGAGGAGCTATTTTGCTCTTAAGGATTTATTTCTCTTCCCAACTAATCAGCTGCTGAAGTGACAGGAGCTTTTCCCAACTGCCAGTTTTAGTAGTCGGAGTCTTCAAAATGAAACGTTTAAGGAGACTCAACGAGCACATTTTGCAGTCTGGGCTGCAGATACTCAATGTTTGTGTTTATTTTCTTAAAACCTGGCTGTAATTATGTATTTATGTAATAATCTCTACAGCAGTTTCAGTTAAAAAGATGCTGCTTATTCCCATGGAGTGGAATCCTTTGGGCTGAAGGATTTTAAAGCCATTATCCACGAAGAGCAGCCACCAGCAATGCTTTTCCCTAACATGTGACCAAGAACCACTTGTGGGAAACACCTCCTAGTCCTGGAAAGATTTTTGCAGCCCCTTAAAGTGGTTGTTTGGTGTTTTTTTTTTCTGGTTTGGAAAGCCATGAGGGATTAGCCTTTAAAACTGCCCTTTCCTGGCTGTGATGACTGTCTGGGTTTATCCAGCTTTGACTGTTTTACATTAGAGGCTCATTAAGAAGCTGCCAGAACCAGGGCTTGGTGCTGTGCAGAGAGGGCAGCCCAAGGCTTCCTGAAGCTTCTGGATCACCCTCAGTGCCTGGTTACAACTCTCCTGCTCCCAAAAAACTGACTGGGAGCTCCCACTGGAGCTGGGAGCTGGTTGGAGGCTGGTGCTCCTCTTCCCATGAATGCCATGGAGCTGGAGTCCTCTCATGGTCCTTCCCGGGAGCGTCCCCACAACCACAATTCCCAGCCAAAACCAAGGCCCTGCTCTGCAAAACCACGTGCCTCAGAAACCAGAAATAAAGAGCTAAAAGTCACTGCTTTCTCCTGTCTGCTCCCCCTCTCCACTCCTGGCAATTCCCAGCTGCTCCCTGGCCAAACCTGCTCTCGAAATCCCGATTTTTATGGCGAGGCTTTGACACTGTTTGAAGGAGGAGGGGGGGGTTTTACCACACACATATAAAGTTTAAACCCCAGCTCTGAGTGGCCAAACTTTGCTCAGCAAACAGCCTAAGCCAGGGGGTGACATCACGACTGGGACGTGGTGGCTTCTCCTCCTGGTCCTGCCAGGACTGAGCCGTTCAGACACAACAAAGTTAATCCATCCCGATGGAACCTGTTTTATCTCCCATGTGTGACTCATGTGAGCACCAACATTATCTGCAGCCCTGAAAGGAGAGAGGCAGAGCAGCAATAACTCCCCACTGCCTTTGTCAGCCACCTACAAAGCAAACTAACTTAATTCCCGAGGATAAAGGCCCCTTTTTCACTTGGAAAATCGCTGAGGATGTGGCTGCCCCATCCCTGGAATGTCCAAGGCTGGGTTGGACAAGGTTTGGAGCAACCTGGGCTAGTGGAAGGTGTCCCTGCCCATGGCAGGGGGTGGGATGAGATATCTTTAAGATCCCTTCCAACCCAAACAATTCCATGATTCTGTAATCCAGGGAAAGAGCACGAATGCAGCAGCACAACACGCTCCTGTGCCTCTTTTATCACCAATATCCAGAATTAGCCCTTTCTTTCCAGATGGATTCAAAAAAATGGGGGCTGGGGGGGGGGGTTACTTCAGCAGCCAAGAGGAAGTGCTGGATTTCTGCATTTCCTCTTCCACGGGATCCCACAAAGACCTCGATGCATCCCTTGGTCACGCGGATCTGGAAAACGTATTAATTCCGTAACCAGGAAATCGTGGCTTTTCCAACAACCCTTGGCTTCCAAAAAACATTCAGGACATTTTTCTGCATCAGCACATATGTTATTATCATCATTATCGTTATCCTTGCTAAGCTGTTTCATTCCTAGGATTCACAAATGCTCGGCGAGCACACGGAGCATCCGATGGGATCGGAACCCCACAGGCTGTCGGCGCCTGCTGGGAGAGCAGAGAGCCCATGGATGGAGATCACTGGGGAAGGAGATGGACAAGGCAGGGCTGGACACCAGTGTCTTCTCCTTCCTGAGGCACAAACACATCATAAAGGCGGTTCATAATTCCCACAGAGCCTGAGTGTGGCTTGATCCTGCCCCGAAATCCAGCCAGGCCCACCAGCAGGACAACATGGCACGTGTAAGTCTCCTCATGGAATGAGACGACAGCAGCTGCTCATCTCTGCACTGATTAGGAGGCAGAATGAGCCATTTCCACCACAATGACTTTCCTGCCAAGCCAGGCCACCAGCACCTCTGGAAGGGACCCAGCCAAGCTGTGTGAGGGAGGGATGCTCCAAGGCTGGAGATCAACCCCACCACACCGAGCCTTGGACCCCCTGTGCCTCATCTCCAACCACTCCATCCCTCTGTGTTTGATGTCCCTCAAGTCTCCTCTCAGAGCCACCCAGTCAGGCAAACGAAGCCAATGAGTGTCTCCAAGTTCAACAGAGTCCACTAAAACACGTTATTTTCTCCCCTGTATTTCCCCACAGCAGGGGAGATTCACTGAGAGTCACTATTGTTTTTTTTAAGAAAAAGCTCTCAACCCAGAGGTGTAAATGCAGCCCTTGGAAAGAGATGGAAAATGTTTGGTTGGATACTGGCAAAAAAGTCTGGATCTCTGTTGCCCAAGGGTCAGCGGCACCCCGTGGTAACACGGCCCCTCCAGCACATCTCTGAGGGGAGGTTTGGGGCTCCCCTGAGAGATTTGGGACAAATAGGTAGCACAACATTCCCACAAAACCCTGCTCCTCACTCCATCACCATCCATGGAGATCCATGGATCCTTGGGCAGAGCTGGGGGTTCACCCAGCCAGGGACTGGCACAGCACAAGCTCCTCACCTGGGGCTGTGCATCCAACATTCCCACACGCTGCCCAGTCACACGTGGAAACAACTCCTGACGTGGCACATGGAGCCCCCCCAGGGTACCCACAGGGGCTTGTCTGGGGTGAAATTTCCCCCAAAAGAGGCCTGGAGGGGTCGGAGCCCCCTGGAGCAAAGCTGAGGGGTGGCACAGGACCCCACCCATGAGCTGCTGGACAAACCCACCAGCACCCCATGAGCTCCACGTGGCCACCAGCCCCCAAACCAACCAGCCCCCAAACCAACCAGCCCCCAAACCAACCAGCCCCCAAACCAACCAGCCCCGGCCTCCTTTGGGAGCTTCAGCAGGTTCTCCAACCCCCCAGTGGGGATATTCTGGGTGTGAACCACACCCCTTTTATTCCAGCCCCTCAATCCCCACACCCCTCCCATGCCTGCAGAGGTGAGGACGTGGTGATGCCCCTGCCACCCTTTGCCATTAGAGGGCAACGAAGAACCTTGGAAGATGTTCCCAACCTCTCCCCTCGGCATCCCTGTCCCTCTGGAACACCTCATGGCACCCAGCTGGGGAGAGAGGCCTCGAGGACACCAAAAGAGGCCTCGAGGATCCCATTTCCTGGCTTTCCATACCAAGAAACAGCATCCACTTCCCTGCCTGGATCCTTCCCAATGCCAACCCCACCGATGACCAGCCTTGACCCTCTCCAGGGTGGGCAACAGGTTTCCTGGCTTTGCTCTTCTCCTCCTCCTTGCCCCCTAAGCAGGGGTAGGGAGCAAGCTCTGAGGACACCAGTGCAATGCTGAGATGCTTCCAAGGTTTACAGACAAAGGAACACAAAATTCCACACGGGATGAGTCCTCCACAACCAGCCCTGCAACCCTTACAATGATTCACCAAGGAGCACATAATCCTACTCATGGCAGATTATTATGATTATTCTTATCATTATTATTATTACTAGCATCAGCAGGAGACCTGTAGCTCCCCACTCTTGTTAATCCCACTTTTGCAGAAGTGAAAGTTCCTTTAGGGGGCCAAACTCCCTCTAATATTCTCAAGATATTCCACATGCAAACATCCAGGATCTGATTTTCAGACTATTTAGAAAATATCACTGCAGATCAATCTCTGGGTACTGCCTCCTTTCAAATATAAGCTGGAAACCAGCACAGGAGACAAAGAGTTATTTCCCTCAAGCTGTTCCATTCATTTACAAGCAAAACCAGGTGAAAATGGTGTAGGGGTTGAAACCAAGACAAAAAAAAAATACCAGTGAAAATATGCCCCCACACCAAACTCAGCCACTGTGCACAAACCCTGCTCCTGGTAGTGCTTTTGGCCCTGGAATTCCAGGGACACACATCAATATTTCACACCCCATATGCTGCCTTTCCGTGCTTTTCCCAACACCTGCTCAGGATGATCTGATTTAGAGGGGCTGGACCTGACCCCAGAGAGCCCCTCTCTGCCCAGGAGTGTCCCCCTGGATGGCTGGACATGGGAAGGGTGGCACATGGTCACCTCCCCTCCTCCTCCTCCTCGCAGTGCTGGTTCCATCAGCCCTGGGCCGCTTCCCTGCCTCTCCAGGCGATGGGAAGCGGCCTCATCCCAACCCGGGGGTGGACTGGAGTTGTGCAAGGAGCTGTTGAGAGCCACAATTACTCCAGATTGCAGATTTCCTTCCCATCTGCTCAGCCCTCCCATCCCCGAGCTCGGCAGTGAATCAGCAGCAGCTGCACAGGGTGGATCAGCTCCGAGGTGGGAATTTGCACATCCAGGCTGGGATCAAACTGCTTCTGCCTGTCCTGCTGCCAACTCAGAGCAAGGGCAGCACACGGACTCCAGCACGGAGTTCACGCTTCCCTGAGCTCTGAAAACACCCAGGAAACAAATCACGGAATTACAGAATCCCAGAATTGTCTGGGTTGGAAGGGACTTAAACCTCATCCAGTGCCACCCCCTGCCATGGGCAGGGACACCTTCCACCAGCCCAGGTTGTTCCAAGCCCCGTCCAACCTGGCCTTGGACACTTCCAGGGATCCAGGGGAGTCCACAATTACTCACAGTAGTTCCTGCAATTTTTCAGTGTCTCACTAAACCAAAACTTTAAATAGGTCGAGCTTTACATTCTCTGCATAGAAAACTCACGAGAAAAGAGCAAGTAATTCTTCATTCAGCTCTACTTTAAGGTACCCGTGCAATGGTTGTAAACTGCCAGAGGGCAGGGATGGATGGGATATTGGGAAGGAATTGCTGGCTGGGAGGGTGGGGAGGCCCTGGCCCAGGTTGCCCAGAGAAGCTGTGGCTGCCCCTGGATCCCTGGAAGTGTCCAAGGCCAGGTTGGAGCAACCTGGGCTGGTGGAAGGTGACCCTGCCCATGGCAGGAGAGTGGGACTGGATGGGCTTTAAGGTCCCTCCCCACCCAAACCAGTCTGGGATTCTACAATTTTTTCAGAGGTTCCACCACTGTATCAGGAAATGTCACATACATGTATTTATCCAAATATTCCTGATCTCCCAGCATGACTCCTGCCAAACTCCCACCCTGGTAGTCCTGTGTTTTATATGCCAATGAACCACCCTCCTTTTCCAGCTCTGGATCAATTATTTCCATCGGCCCTTCCTGCTGCACTTCCCGGCAGATCCCGATTTTGCTGCTGGCTCCCAAATGCATATCCCACCTTTTTCACACTCCGTTTTCCCCAGTTCCCCAGCAATGCCACTTCTGTTTATGCACCGTGGCAGAGCCAACCTGTTAATTGCTGTGTGCCCTGCCAGGCCTGCCCAGCTCCCACACAGAGATGCCTCAGCATCTGTCGCTGCCTAATCCGAGGTTGTCTGCAGCCTCTGGAGGTGAACAGGAGTTCAGGCTGCATCAGCAGCCTCCTGTGCCTCAAGGTGACAGCTACTGCTGGCAGGGACAATGCTCGGGATGTGGGGACCCAAATACTCCCTGGATTGAGAGAATTTGCTCACGACACAGGTCAGGACAGACCCGACTGAGAGGTGACTGCAGGGGCAAAATCAGCAGCACTGGGCACCCAGAGGACGCACAGGGCGACTGTAACATCAGAGGGGCAAAAAGAAAGGAATTATTATGAGTAGTGACCGAAAGCAGAGCGTAAGGCCAGAGAAATGAGTGTTTCAACTCCTCAACACTGGTCCTCTGGGAGGTCCCTTCTCAGCCCAGGGACGCTCCGAGGAAGCAGTTGGTGCTCTCAGTGAAAACAGCTCCCAGAACCCCCCCAGAGCCCCCTCACCTGGTCACAGATGAGCTCCCACTTCTTCTCGTTGTCGTACTGCCGCAGGAGCCGGGCCTTGTCGGGAGGCAGGTTCATGGAATTCTGTGGGGAGAGGGAAACACCCGTGAGGGACCGGCGGGCAGGGAAAGGCCGGAGCGAACCACGGCGGCGGGGCTGCGGTTGGGGAATTGGTTCCTGGGAGCTCCTGGTGACAGAATTACTCAGAAAAATCTCCTCTGGATGTTGGTTTTGGCCCCAAAAGCACCAGTGAATCACGGGGCACCCGGGGGCAGGGCTGGGTGTGAGGCCACGCGAGGTGAGAGACTGAGGACCCATCCTGAGCTCCAGTTTCCTTTTTTTTAGGAAAACGTTCTTCCCTGTGAGGGTGGGGAGGCCCTGGCACCCTGGCATAGGTTGCCCAGAGAAACTGTGGCTGCCCCATCCCTGGAAGTGTCCAAGGCCGGGTTGGATGGAGACCCGAGCAAGCTGGGCTAGTGGAAGGTGTCCCTGCCCATGGCAGGGGGTTGGAACGAGATGGGCTTTAAGGTTCCTCCCAACCCAAACCATCCTGGGATTCTATGACCAGCCACCTCCATCCAGCAGAAAGGACAGGAATTCCCTGAGCTGCCACAGCACAGGAGTCACCTCCCATCCCAGAAGGGTCCCTGGGGTGCTCCAGATGTCCTTCCCTTCCCCTGAGCACACTCCTGAGGGACACACAGTCTCCCCTGCAGGCTGGGGGCTGCACAAGACCACTTCTCTCCCAGCCAGACCATGAAATGCCATTTCATTTTATTCCAACAACTCTTCAGGTTGTTAAACGTCACCACCTGGACCTTATCTGGGTACCAGAGATCCCAGGGGTGGGACTGCTGCTGCCCAACCCCCTGAGATAACAATCCCAGCCTGGGAAGGCCCAGAGTCAGGAGGAAGGGGAGAGGCAGCAATTAGGTGATGCCTATCGTTTGCTGGCTCCTTTGATGTCAGCACAGATCTCCTTCCACCCTTCCAGGGGCACTTCCCCAGGGAAGGGTGGCACAGGCTGGCCACTGGCTCCCAAGGCAGCTTTCCACACCTGTGCTCCTGGAGAACTGGGGAATGCAAACCAGGAATGCAAGCACCAGGGCTGGAGAGGATCCCTATCGGCCCAGCAGCACGGAGCAGGGGCAAGTGCTTGGGTGGAAAACCTGCTGAGCACCTCTTGGTCTTCAGCACCTCTTGGGCTCCAGTTTAAATTCCCAGACTGGCCCCAGCTATGCCCAGTTAACCCCTGAGGAGCACAGTCCATCCAGGACTGCTCCCAGGGCATGAGGAAGAGCCAGCTGGTCCCTGTGTGTGTGGTGCAGCAGGAATCAATAAATCCAAGGCTTGGCACCAAACCCTCCCTCCAGGATCACACCCCTTCCCAAGCTGTGCCATGGGCAGCCCTACAGCTTTATCACAAGAGGATCCTCAGGACC